TGTTATTGGATGTTTCTATGGCTGTAGAAAATTCCACGGGACATCATGGATATAGAAAATAAGTGTTACAGTAGTTCAAGAAAGTAAGTGTAAAATTATCCTAGGCACTAATGATTGAATGGATGGCTTGAGTAAGTGGCTAGATGGACTGTCTCTAAGAAGAGGGCTATATTATAGAAAGAAACAATAGTAAGTTCAGTTCCGGACCTGGTGAAAGGAGGCATCTGTGAGCTAGCCAGCTGGAACTGTCCTGGAAATGAGTTGCTGACACTCAAAAGACAATTCTGAGTTGGAATCCTCTTTATGGAAATAATTCTGAATCACTAGAGCTGATGCAATTTCTAAAAGAGAAAATTTAGAAATAGGAGGGGAGGACCTTGGGGTATATTGTGAGAGTTGATGGGAAAAGAGGAGTCAGAGAAAGACTGATAACAGAAATAGGAGGATATCCAAAATGAACTACAAGAGCAAAGAGAGATGAGAATTTCCTGAAGGAGGGATTGATTTTTAGTATGAAACAGAGTTATCAGGACTGAGAGAGGAAAAACAATATTGGATATGGTGATGATAAAGTCTGCTGACCTTTATAAGTGCAATGGAGTATCTGTGGCAGAAACCAAATGATATGACTGGCAGAGAGGAAATAGAGACAGAGGTTTAAGTCACTTTTTCAAATGGGTACAGAATGGAAGGGAAAGTGAAGGGCTTTTTTTTTTAATAGAAAAAAATAAGCTTGACTGAAGGCAAAAGACCAGTAACTGGAAAGGAAGAGACAGCAGTAACCTTAACACTATTCATTCATTCATTTGTTCCTTCAATACATATGTTGCCTACCTCCTTGGTATCAGATACTGTGCAAGGAACTGAAAGTATAGCAGTGAATGAGAGAAATTAATTTCTGCTCCCAGGGTGTATTCTGCTAGTTGCTCTTTTTCACCCTTCTCTCTTTGTTTCCAACTCCCTCCTAAGACCTCCTGCCTTCCTTCCTCTCTTTAATAATGATTCTGCAGGTACAAATATTAAACCAAACTTATTAGTATCTACAGTATCCACTGTTCTTTCTTGATGTGTATCATTTTTTTCTAAATGTGTTTTTGCTTTTTAAAAATTACAAACAATGAACTCTTCAAATGAAATAAAACCTTATGTACATAGGTCTTGATTTGGTTTTCAAGAAAAAGTCAAAAGCTGAATAAATGAGAAGGTCCAAAGTGGCAGCAACATTGAGTATTGTTCCTTTTTCCATTTGATGATCAGTTGTACTGTTGCTTCCTGTTAAGAAAGTCCTTTATTGTATAGCTGTAAGGTCTATAATGACTTTAAGTATCACATCCTTGATGACCTGATTTAAATATAAAACACATTTCTTATAGTTTGGCATTATCCCCCATCATGTTTGGCTCTCAGTATAGCACCGAAGTACTACTTACTGTGTCAAGAGCAACACTTGTTATAATGTCAAGCTTTCCCTTGGTGATTACCCACACATGTGAAAGATGTAACATCATAACTACAAGCTATAAGCTACTGATTTAAAGTTTTTGGGATTCATTCCATGTGAATTGGGCTAAACTTAGCCAGTATTAATTAAGTTGGAAAGGAAGGAGGACATCTAATCTTCTGATTTGAAAAGGAAACAGGAAAATATTTGACTAAGAAAGGCAATATGTGATAGAGAAGGGTATAGATGAGTGAGTCAGTCTGGAATGGGAGTATGTATAGCCAGAAAAGTGCTGGCTCAACAGGCTTGATACAATGCAAGGCTAAAAGGGATGCTCCCTAGAAATTTATATTGGATGGTGGCTGTTCTCAGAGGAGTTATAGTCTTTTTGAAAAGGCAACATTAGACATTTGAAATAATTTAGAGAAAAAAATGATGTACCGCAGTAGCTGCCAAACTTAATCGTGTATTAGAATCACCGAGAAAACAAACAAACAAGAAAATACAGACTTTTGAGCCCCGTCTCAGAAGCTTCAAGGATAGTCCAGGAATCTCTGTTTCTTTTTAACAAACTTCTTACTGGTTTTGATTTAGTTTGCTCTCAGAACTGTACTGGAGAAACAGTGAAGTTTGGTAAATAATAAACTGAATATAATAAAAAACCTGGAGGATGAGTTATTCTAAATTTATTCATTTATTTAACAAACATGCCCAAGCATCTAATATAAGCTAGATATTATGCTGTTTTCTAGGGCTAAAGGATGAATAATACATGGTCCCGGCCCTTACACTCCGAGTCTAGAAGAAAAGATATCAGTAGATAAATAAGGCAGTGTGCTTAATGAAATGATAGAGATGTGTAGGATGCTATGTGCTTAATGAAATGATAGAGGTGTGTAGGATGCTATGGAAGCAAATAGGAGGAGTACCAAACGTGCTCTGGTTGATTTGGGCCCAGAAGAAAGGTAGGATCAGGAAAACTTCACTGAAGTGCCTGAGCTTTTTTGTAACAGATAACTTACTCCTTATAAGACCTCATACTGTTTTTTCTCATTGTTTTGCTTAGAAATCTTGCTAAAACATGTTTTGTTTTTTATTTTTTTTTTGCTTGATTTAACTTTTTTTATTGCTAACTTGGCATGATCACATATATTTTTGCCATATAACAAAATAGTGATGCCTTCTATTGTAGTATACAGAATTAATTTCTATTATCCCAAATGGTCCCCAACTACTGTGACTGTGCTATTCTCATTTTCCATCATATTGTCTTTGATGTCAGTCTGATAATCATCTTGTTAATGTCAATGTGGCTGTTTATAGAGTAGCATATTTATTTAAATTTTTACTTGGCTTTGGACAAAAAATTGTGAATAAGTAAAAGTGTAAAGCATTAAGTAGAATATAGTATGTGAGTTTTAGTGCATTTTGTGACAGGCAATTATTTTAACTACTGAACTACCTTGTTTTTTAAATTATTATGTAAATGCCAATAGATACTTTAGAAATCACATATTACAACTCTTTTATTTTATAGGCAAAGAAACTGAGGCTCCAAGATACCAGGGATGATAGTGGCAATCAAGGAGTAAAATCTAGTCCTCCTGATACCAGAATAGTCCCATTCCATAAAAGCAGCAGTTCTTAATGAGGGGGTTACAGCAGAATCATTTGGAGAATTGTTCAAAATACGCATACCTAGTATTTGATCCCAAGGGTCCTGATTCAGTAAGATTGGCATGTATATTTCTTAAAAAAATTTTTTTAATTTTTGGAAGATGCTGATCTATATTCATGAACCAGCATACTTTAATCTGCTTGCCATCTATCATAATTTGTTTCTGAGTAGTTATACAGTACAGGTAATAAATGCTTCTAGAGCCTAGACATGAGAAAAAGAGAGACTTTGGAGATAACTGTGAGTGAGAAAGTCATTGGAGGGTTTTGAGCAAAAGGGCATATTATATAATTGCATTTTAAAAGGATAATCTAGCTACTGTATGGAAAACAAACAGGGAGGTTGGGGGATGCCTCTAGCAGGGAGGTCAGTTAGGAGACCATTACATTAATTCAGGCAAGGAGATAGAGGCTTTGACCTGGGTGGTAATAGTGGAGGTTGGGAGAAAGGAACAGATTTTTGACATATTTTTAAAGTTAAAATAACAGAACTTGTTGACAAATGCAATATGAAAGGAGTCAAGGATCAGTCTTAAGTTTTTGGCCCAAGTAACTAGAAGAAGAGAATTGCCTTTTAGATGAAATCGCCACAAGAGCTAGTACTGATAGCGAAGAAAAGAGATTGAAGAACTAAATCTTGAAACACTTTAGCATTTAGAATCAGAGAGATAAGGAGAACCCAAATGGAAGCTGAAAAGCACTAGCTAATGAGATGGGAAAAAATCTAGAAGACTGTTATATCCTGGAAGCCAGGTGAAGAAAGTATTGCAAGGCACAAGAAGTGATTAGTTGCATCAAATAGGGGAGTAAAATGAAAACTGTTCATTGACCATTGGAATTAGCAATGTGGAGGTCATTGGTGACCTTGACAAGGAATAGTTTAGTGATAGAAATGAGTTCAAAAGAGAATGTGAAGAAGAGAATTACTACTAAGAATAGAAAACTCTTTGGAGGACTTTTGCTGTTAAAAGGAAAAGGAAAATGGCTTGGTAACTGGAAGAGGACTTGAAGTCAAGAGAAGGGTTTTTTTAGATGAGAAAATTTATGGCATGTTTGTATGCTGAGAATTGAATTGTATGGTGAGAATTATCTAGCTGAGAAGGAAAATTTGATGATATAATGGAGAGAGGAGAGAACTGGTGGAATTACATCTTTGAGCAAGAAAGTAGGGATGGGATCTCATGCACAGAAGGAGGATTTAGCCTTAGGGACACAGGCAGCCTAAGAAAACAGCAAGAAGGAAAGCAGATTATGTGGGCACAGATGGAGGGAGGTGAGTAGATACAGGAAGAACAGATCGTAGAAGTTCTTTTCTAATAGCTTCTGCATTAGGAAGCAAAGTTGTAATTGAGGATGAAGAAGAGATATTGGAAGTTTAAAAAGAGGAAAAAGTATAAAGTAGTTGTCTGGAAGAGGAAAATGGTAAATTAACTGTTGCACTGATTAAAGGACAGCTACAAAGGTACACTTAAATTTAGAACGTATCCATCCATCTTGAATGCATATTTTGCCAAGCTCCACATTCAGTTGCTGGGTTGTAGACATGGAAGAGGGTAAAAGGTGGATATAACCAAAAGTAGAATTTTGTCAGACGAGGACAACATGAGAGGGGCAAAGGAGTGACTGTAATGATGGATCATGGAATTTATGCTTAGTTAGGAAGTAGTTGAGGCTTTGGAAGTGGAACAGAGAGCTATGAAAGATGTTAAGATCAATTAACTGTAAGGTCCTCTGGAGTCAATATTATTAAAGAATTAAAGAGAGGAAGCTTAAAAAATGGTAGTGATCAGAAACAGTAAGATGCTGAAATATTTTAAAATGGAATGAGGGTGCTAACCAGTTTAGTGGCTATAATAATTATTTTAATTGATTGATTTGTTAGGTTCATGATTACAAAGAAGGAACCCCAGAAGAGAAGACCTACTACATAGAATTATGGGATGTTGGAGGCTCTGTGGGCAGTGCCAGCAGCGTGAAGAGCACAAGAGCAGTATTCTACAACTCTGTAAATGGTAAAGCATTTTAAAATTTCTATTATATATTAATGGTCTAAGAGTATAGATCTTCTGACATGGAATGTCATAGCATGCCAGACTTGTCTTAATTTGAGAAAGATGTAATATGCTCACAACCCTTGATTTTAATCTGTACAGCACATTCCAGTTTGTGTTTCTACATTGTAACCATGTAATTCAGAACGTTAAACATCTGCTTTGTCTAAGTGTTTCTATTTATATTGTTGGCATAAACTAAATATTGAGAAATAAAATCATGTTTTTGGTACTTGACATAAAACATGGAACTTTCAAAGTGTTGTCGTCTAGGACTGCTATCTGTCCAGTGAGTTGATTAAGTACAGTGGGATTATAGGAGTCCCATAGTCTTAACCTAGGTATCACAGAGTTTACTGAGTACCAGCTCAGCCAAAGAGACTGTCACCCAGGTGGCGCTGAAGGAAATGAGAGGCAGACACCCAGATAGAATAGCAAAGTGGGTCTATCCAGGGAGCCAGGAGCCTTCTGAACTAAGAGCTTCGGGGGCTGACAGCATTCCAAGCTGAAGGCCCCAAGCGGATCCTGATCCACTTAGTCTCTTTTAACAGGTGATTATTATTAAGAAACAGGTGTTCTATATTTTCTCATAACTCGACAATATACCAAGTAGGCAGCTGTTACCCGCTTACCACTGACTACAGACAAACTAAAAGGTATTCTCCTTGAGGGAGCCATGGCGGCAGGGTCAGATATCTCAAAGAATTGTTTTAACTGGTGTATGATATTTATACATTGTCCTGCCACTTTGGAATGCCCCAAATGGTTTTCCACCTGGGGAGGGGGTCGGCTAGGTTTTCCTTGCCATCATTCTTCCTAGCAAACGATATATTCTACCATACACTCAGCATTCATCAATATTTGTAAACTTAGTATCTCTCAACAAGAGACAGAGGGATTTCTTTCATCTGCCCCTGAGAAAGAGCCCTAAGTCTCTTTCTTACAATATACCAAGTAGGCAGTATAGGTATATCTCAAAATATACCAATACCCTAAGGTTCTTTCTCACCTAGTTATGAAGAGCTGCTTAATGGGGTCTTTATGGGTGTAAAAATTTTATCCAATTATAGTTGCTCAGATACCAGGAGCAGACTTCCAGATGGAGGTGTGTAATATAGGACATAATTTCCATTCATAGAGTACCTACTCTGTGTCAAGAGACTAAACTGCTTATACCTCTGAGTTGTCAATAGAGTTTCTTAGTCTTCTTCTTTTTTTTTTTTTTGAGACAGAGTTTCGCTCTTGTTACTCAGGCTGGAGTACAATGGCGCAATCTCGGCTCACCGCAACCTCCGCCTCCTGGGTTCAGGCAATTCTCCTGCCTCAGCCTCCAGAGTAGCTGGGATTACAGGCGCGCACCACCATGCCCAGCTAATTTTTTGCATTTTTAGTAAAGACGGGGTTTCACCATATTGACCAGGATGGTCTCGATATCTTGACCTCGTGATCCACCCGCCTCGGCCTCCCAAGTTGCTGGGATTACAGGCGTGAGCCACCACGCCCGGCCCTTAGTCTTCTTTAAAATTCATTTTTAAAATCTTTTTTTACTGTGAAACTGTTTGATTAATATACCAAAGGATTTGGCATTTCCCTCCTGGTAAATGCATAGCCATTAATAGACCTCATTTATGCTGTGCTTAGATCTTCAATATTGCATTCATCCAGTATGTTCATTCCTTATATTCCTCTTTTGATGTCTTCCCATATCATAAGATGTTGTAGATTCTACAAAAAGAAGTAGAGAAGGTTCTTTTCATTGGATACATACTATAGAATACAGAATGAAATGTGTCAGTTCAGACCCATATCCCATTTAGCTCAGAATTCTATTTGAAAAGTCACAGTCTTAATGAAGGAACAGAGCATTCATAAATGAGACAAAATACAGTTATAACATTACCTAATATATGTCACCATCATGCAAAAATGTATATATCATAATGGTATGTATTAATAGAATACATATAAGTAAGAAAAACAATAATAAAACTAGTATAGTGTGAGGTGACCTCTTAAAGAAAAAGAAGGAAGTGAAACCTAGTTTAGACTTAAACTGGAGTAATCAACTTGTATCAGTAAAATGACTTGTCAAAGTAAGATATCTATCTGATCTGGCACAGAGAAGTTTGAATATATAACACCTTTGATGTTTAGGTATTTTTGAGACAGGTATGATTAAGATTATAAATAAATAATACAGATAAATACTATTCGAATCCTAGAAGCCATGGAATTCAGAGTTGTAAACTTCTAAGTGCTGAAAAAATCCATCTAATCAATATTTGTTTACCTCTTCTATACTTACTACTCATTAGTGATTTGTCTCCTTTAATATTATTGAAAGAATTGCATATATCCTGTGTTGATTTTGCAGATAAGACTGAGATATATTTCCATTTTTTAAAGGTAAAAAATAAATTCCTGTTTTTTGAAAAGCCTGTTTCTGTGTTCTTTCACCCTAACTCTGGAACATTCCTCCTGGTGGAAGCACTCCAAGTTCTTTATTCCATCTACCAATCATAGTTTCCTAAGAAAATGAACATAAGGATCATTCTATCCAAATGCATAGTTCATATTCTCAGCAATAACTTTCTTCCCTTAATACCCTACATTCTTCCCTGGTAACCTAGGCTAGTAATCTCAGAAGGAAATAATAGAGTGTCTTTTCTTCTCTCCCTTAAGATTAAACTATATTATCATTAGCTATCTCCCTGACTCCTTTCATCTGGGCCCCACCTTGGCTCTTCTAGCACATACTCTACAAAGCAAGAACTCTCAGCCCAAATGAAAGGAAAGAAATAGGGAAAATGGGTACTCCAATGCCATTGAAAGCTCAAAAGTCTTACCTAGAGATCCTCAATAAAGTCTTCCCTGTCCATCTAATAGTCATCTTAGGCCTTTGTAATTCTTTCACTCCCCAGTCCAAAATTCTTACCCATGTGTTTTGCAATAGTTATAATGTGGGGAAAAGGGAAGGGAGAAAATACATGCCACTTTTTTGCCCTAAAATGAGATTTTATTCTGCAGTCTTTACTGTCAGATTACCTGAGTAGAAATGCTGATTTACCATGTAACCAAGAGCAAGTTCCTCAACCTCTCTGAACTTCTGTTTTCTCTTGTGTATAAAAATAATAATTCTTGGGCCGGGTGTGGTGGCTCAAGCCTGTAATCCCAGCACTTTGGGAGGCCAAGGCGGGTGGATCACGAGGTCAAGAGATTGAGACCATCCTGGTCAATATGGTGAAACCCCTTCTCTACTAAAAATACAAAAAAAATTTAGCTGGGCATGGTGTCGTGTGCCTGTAATCCCAGCTACTCAGGAGGCTGAGGCGGGAGAATTGCCTGAACCCAGGAGGCGGAGAGTGCAGTGAGCTGAGATAGCGCCATTGCACTCCAGCCTGGGTAACAAGAGCGAAACTCCATCTCAAAAATAATAATAATAATTCTTACCTCATAGGACTGTTCTGAAAATTGAATTAGATAACACATGTAAAGCACAATATTTAGCACATAAGTACGGAATAAATATTAGCTGTGGTCTTTAATGGCAGTTCTTTAATTCTTTTTTTAAATCTATGCCATTGATGCTGATTAAAATCCCTCATTGAGGAAGGACGAGTGGGTACAATTGGATATTAGAAGTGTCAGATCTCAGAAGAGATACAGGTTTATCTAAGCTGGCTGGAACAAGTCAACTATAGCTTGTACAAGCCTTTTAGTTACACAGATGGCTGTAAAAACTGTAGAGGCCAGCTAATTCTACCTATTCTGTTTTTCTTTCTTTTTTTTTTTTTGAGACGGAGTTTCGCTCGTTACCCAGGCTGGAGTGCAATGGCGCAATCTCAGCTCACCGCAACCTCCGCCTCCTGGGTTCAGGCAATTCTCCTGCCTCGGCCTCCTGAGTAACTGGGATTGCAGGCACGTGCCACCATGCCCAGCTAATTTTTTGTATGTTTAATAGAGACAGGGTTTCACCATGTTGACCAGGATGGTCTCTATCTCTTGATCTCGTGATCCACCCGCCTTGGCCTCCCAAAGTGCTGGGATTACAGGCTTGAGCCACCACGCCCAGCCCCTATTCTGTTTTTTTTTTTTCAAATTGACACATACCACCTCTTGAAGATGGAGGAATCATCAGTTTCATGTCCTATTCACAATCTGCATAATATAGAAAAGAGCTGGGAATTTGTAACCTATAGTGTTTTGACCATAAAATGATATCCTAAATGTGGGCATCAAAGTTTTTCCTCTTTTGTCTATATCTTACTGTAATAATTAATTCCCTGATATACCTTTCTATCTAGGATTTTAATTGATTCTCTTTAATTGTATTTCTCAGCCTCATTGCATTTTGTTATTTGTCTCAATCTCATGCATGTATTTTCTACTAGCCATACTTCTTTACTTTTTAATATCTCCACCCACTCTCTTCTAGTGACATATTTCTTTTGCTCTATCTCTTACAGGTAGTAAGCTTACATAACTAATCATTATTCAGAGAACTAGAAAATTAGACATTTGAGTTGATTAGCCTCAGGTGATCTACAGGACACTGTTTTGTCAGCTAAAGAATAGCAATTATTTTAAATCAATACTATTTTAATAGATTTTCATTATTTAATATTATTTTTAGTAAGTATAAATACTGTATGTATGTACTGGTATCTATGGCAATACTATGTACAGTGAAGAAACAACATAACTTTGAATGAATATAATTTTGTATATACTTGAAGTAGTTTTGATTTTCTTGATTAATGTGGTGGTTCTACAAGTAGGAACAGGCATGGAGTAGGCACTTAGGAAGTATTGAATGAAGAAAAGATCTGCTAAAAGTTTAATGGCATTTTGTCAGCCCTGGTAAAATAAAGAGTTATAAAGCTGACAGAGAAAGGTTTATGGCTAATTATTTATAAATATTTGTAGAGGAAATTTTAAAATAATCGTGTCTGAGTTAGTCATACTAGAATGCTAGATTCGTTAAGCACCCGTGCTTCTGTTTACCAAACTTCATTTGGCCAATTGTGAAATGAAGAGAAATTGTTAAAGGATTAACATTTTTTTCTCTGATTATTTTAGGTATTATTTTAGTACACGACTTAACAAATAAGAAGTCCTCCCAAAACTTGTATCGTTGGTCATTGGAAGCTCTCAACAGGGATTCAGTGCCAACTGGAGTCTTGGTGACAAATGGGTAAGCCCAGAATTATTTCACAATTGGTTTGAAAGGTTATAGCAATCACAGGAATATACTCTCCAGAATAGCACTTTGTAAGATGTTTGATTTGCAAAGATTTCTCTTTCAGTCTATAGATTATCTTTTATTTTAACAGTATCTTTCACAAAGCAATAGTTTTCATTTTGATAAATTCAGATTTCTCTCTTCTTCTTCTATGAATTGTGCTTTAGATATCCTAAGAACTCTTTGCTGATCCTAGATGATGCAGGTTTTCTCTTATGTTTTCCTCTACAGATTTTATGGTTTTACATTTTTATAGTAAAACATTTATATAAAACATTTTAAGTTTTATAGGTTTACATTTAGATCTATGATCTGTTTTAAATTAGTTTTATCCAAGTTGTGAGGTTTTAGTTGAGATTAATGTTTGCATATGAATGTCTAATTGTTTCAACACCATTTGTTGAAAAGATATCCTTTCTCATTGAATTGCTTTTGCTCCTTTGCCAAAAATCATTTGGCCATATTAGTATGAGTCTATTTCTGGACTGTAGTTCTGGTCTCTCCCTTCACCAGTACTACACTATCTTGATTATAGTCTTAAAATTGAGCAGTATGAGTTCTTCTACTTTTTTCTTTTTCATAATTGTTTAGCTATTCTAGTTTATCTTTCTACATAAATTTTGAAAATCAGCTCGCCTATATTGACAAAAATTTTCGTTGGATTTTAATTAGAATTGCATTAAACCTATTGATCACATTGGAGAGAATTAATATCTTTATTCTGTTGCATCTTCCTGTTCATGAACACAATATACCTCTCCATTTATTTAGAGCTTCTTTTATTTCTCTTATCAGCATTTTGTAGTTTTCAGCACACAAATCCTGTACATGTTTTATTAGATTTATACCAAAATATTTAATATTTTTGAAGGTAGTATAAATTTTGTTGTGTGTTTTGAGACTGGGTCTTGCTCTGCTGCCCAGGCTAGAGTGCAGTGGTATGATCTCAGTTCACTGCAACCTGTGTCTCCCAGGTTCAAACAATTATCATGCCTCAGCCTCCCAAGTAGCTGGGATCACAGGCATGTGCCCTATGCCTGGCTGATTTTTGTATTTTTGGTAGAGGTGGGGTTTCACCATCTTGGCCAGGCTGATCTCAAACTCCTCCTGACCTCAGGTGATCCACCCACGTTGGCCTCCCAAAGTGCTGGGGTTACAGGTGTGAGCCACCATACTTGGCCATAAATGGTATATTTAAACTTCAGTTTCAAATTGTCCATTGCTAGTATTTAAAAAAATAGAATTGATTTTGAGTGCTGACCTGTATCCTGTGACCAGAGTCTTTCAGTAAAATCCTTGGGATGCTCTTCATAGACAGATTTATTTCTTCCTATTCTATCTGTATGCTTGTTGTCTTATTTCTTGCCTTATTGCATTGGCCGCAACTTCCAAAAGAATAATAAATAGGAGTGATAACAGTGAATATCTATGTCTTACTCCCAGTCTTAGAGGGGAAGCAGTCATTTCACAATTAAGTATGATGTCAGCTTTAGGTTTTTTTGTTGACATCATTTATCAGGTTGAGAAAATTTCTTTCTATCCCTAATTTGCTGATAGTTTTATTAATGTCATGAACATATTTCTGTCAAACAGGCAGAACAGAATTCTGTCAAAAGCCTTTTCTGCATCAATCAATAGGGACATTTGGCTTCTTCTTTCAACTGTTAGTATGGTGGATTACGTTCACTATTTTTCAAATATTGAACCAGCCTTTCATTCCTTGATCATTGGTATCTTGTTTTCTGTTCTCATAATGTCTTTGACTGGTTCTGGTATGAGGATAATGTTGGCCTTATAGAATGAATTAGAAGTATTCCTTCCTCTTCATTTTTTGGAAGAAATTGAGTATATTTGATGTTATTTCTTCTTTGAAGGTTTGGTAGGATTTACCAAGAGACCACCTAGGCCTGGAGATTGCTTATTTGAAAGATTTTTAACCACAAAGTCAACTTCTTTAGTAATTAGGATTGTTCAATTTACCTATTTCATTTTGGGTGAGTTTTGGTAGCTTGTGATTTTCAAGGAATTCATCTATTTCATTAATTTTTTTAATTTATATCAATAGAGTTGTTTATGGGTATTTATTGTCCCTTTGGTAGTTGCACAGTTTATAGTAATATGATCTTCTTCATTCTGATTTTGGTATTTTATGTCTTCTCTTTTTCTTGTCAAAATTGTAGAAGTTTATCAATTGTGTTGATTTTTTTTTCCAAAGAAGCAGATATTGGTTTCATTGATTTTTCTCTATTGTTTTTCTGTATACAGTTTAATTGATTTCTGCTCTTATCTTATTTCCTTCCTTCTGCTTGCTTTTGGTTTATTTTGTTCTCTCTTTATAGTTTCTTAGATTACTGACCGGATACCTTGCATTTTTGCTAATACAAGCATTTTTAATGCTATAAGTTTCCCTCTAAACACTGCGTTAGCTTCATCCTGCAAATGTTTACTTTTATTTTAATTTAGTTCAAAATATTTTCCGATATTCCTTGAGATTTTCCCATGAGCTACTTAGAAATGTGTTGGTTGGTTTCCAAATATTTAGAGGCTGTCTGGTCATTCTTTGCTGTTGATTTCTAGCTTAACTTTATTATGATCCAAGAGCATACTTTATATTATTGCGCTTATTTTATATTTGTGCAACACCCAGTATGTGACATCGGTGTTGTTATCTCTGTTGTTTCAGTTTTCAGTGTCTTTGGTATGCTAAGTAGGATCAAATCCATTCATGCACAGCTTTGACAATGAGCTCAAGCATTTATGAACTACTTTATGGGGTCGCTTTCTGAAACTTCACCCTCTCTGTCATCTCTCCCATACTTTGTGATTTGCTGGGGCTCCCTTTTTAGGTCTCCTGTCCAAATTCTGTCATACACTTACAAAACTGCACCTACGTCCAGGGCCAAGTGGTAGAAGGACAAAAAATAAAAGCAATGAGAGTTTGCCCCACCATCTTGGGATGCAGTTCTATCAATCAGAGAGAAAGATTTTCTTTCCTCTGCATTCATAAGCAGGGGTCCCCAACTCCTGGTCCATGGCCTATTGGGAACCAGGCCACACAGTGGGAGATGAGTGGCAGGTGAGTACACATTACTATCTGAGATCCACCTCCTGTCAGATCATCAGCGGCATTAGATTCTCATAGGAGTGTGAATTTTATTGTGAACTGTACATGTGAGGGACCTAGGTTGCAGCCCCTCATGAAAATCTAATGCCTGGTGATCTGAGGTAGAACAGCTTCATCCTGAAACCATCCCCCAAACACCTGTCTATAGAAAAATAGTCTTCCATAAAACTGGTCCCTGGTACCAAAAAGTTGGGGACCACTGTTTTTGAGCATTCTGCTTGTGTTACAGCCTTTGCCACAACCATCATGGAATCGCTCAGAGGCTGGCTTATGACAGAAGGAAAAATATTGTATTTCTACACTATCTCCAAGTATTCAGGAGCCCCCTTTCTTGTTTCATGAGCCAGAACTATAGGCCTTCTTCTGGAGTTTTCTGTTGAAGTTTTTGGGTTTTAAGCCAACTTGCATTCAGATAAGGGAATATGGAAGGGAAAAAATATCATAATCTCACTGCTAATTCAATGGTTCTTTACACTGTGGTCTTCTTCCTCAATATGTTCACTATTAATTTTTCAGAGTCCTCAAATAGCCACTTAATTCATCCTGTCCAGGATGCAATTACAGTTGCATTCACTGGGAAAGACAGGATAGAGTTTGCTTATTCTGTCTTACCTAGAACAGAACCCCATTTTCTATTTTTTGATTAAAGCAAGTCTTTCAAAGACTTTGTTTTCTGTGTAGAAGTCTAATTGTTATGTGAAACCTAAATGTAGTGTTAAGTTTGAGTAATTATATGTAGATTCCTGTAAGACCTGATAGAGAATAACCACAACTAATTTAAAACCCACATTTCAAAGCCTAGTTGATATTTCTTATTTCCTATCTCAATTCCTTTCATCACTGATGTCTTCATTAACCTAGCTTGTTCTCTATTTTCTACTAAGATTTTTGCTTAAGAAACTTATCCCTAAATTTAGGATTAAGAGGCAGTATATTCATATCAGAAAGAAATCTGCATTTTTGTGAGGGAATTCAGTAAAAATTCTATATCCATTTGCATTTTTTACACTACAGCTTCATTTTGATCCTATAGATAAACCTGCAGTGTATTAAACAACCTTAATACATTGGTGTGCTTCACTGGTGCATTATTTTGTAGCATCAAAAGATGTGGAAACAACCCTAGTGTCCGAGCAACAAAAAATTCATTGAATAAATAATGGCATATCCACATACTGAAGTAGTATTCAACATTTAAAAAAGAATCTGCCTGAGCCAGGGGATCATGAGGTTGAGACCATCCTGGCCAACATGGTGAAACCCTGTCTCTACTAAAAATACAAAAATTAGTTGAGTATGGTGATGCACGTGGCTATACTCCCAGCTACTTGAGAGGCTGAGGCAGAAAAATTGCTTGAACCCAGGAGGCAAAGAGGTTACAGTGAGCCAAGATTTTGCCACTGCACTCCAGCCTGGGTGACAGTGCAAGAAAATAAAAAATCAGGAAGATCTCTAGGAACTAAAATAGAAAGATCTACAGAGGGTACAGTATTAGGTTTAACAAATCAAGATACAGGGAATGTACATTGTATACCTCCTACTGTGTAAGAAAGGAAAGAAATAAGAATATGTATTTGTATTTGGATAAGGAATCAGTGAAAAGATAAATAAGAAACTATTAAAAATGGTAACCTATAGGGGGCCAGGGAAATGGGTGGATGGGTATAGTGGTAGGAGCAAGTCTGCTTAGCGTATATCTTTTATATCAGTTTGAGTTTTTAGCCATATTTTTTAAATTTAGGTAAATTTTGTATTATGTGGTTTTTACCACAATAAAAAATTTTTTAACTTTATTATGAAAAATTCTAAACATGTATAAATACAAAGAATGGAAAATGAACTCCCATATACCTATTGCCTAGTTTCAACAATTATCAACATATGGCCAGTCTTGTTTCATTCATACCTCTACCTACTTCCTATCTTCTCTCACTCTCAACTGGATTATTTTGAACCAAATGTTAAAACATCATATCATTTCATCCATGTATAGTTCAAAGCATAAGGGCTTTTTTAAACATGACAACATATAATCATCACAGCTAAAAATTTAATAATTCTTTAATAACCAAACATTATTTTAATTTCCCCAATTGTCTCATAAATGTTACAGTTGATTTTTTTCAAAACAGTATCTAAATAAGATTCACTGGTTGTATTTGGTTTCTTAAGTGTCTTTTCATCTTAGGTTCTCCCTTCTTGGTTGTTTTTTTTCTCAACTTCCTAGCAGTTTATTTGTAGAAGAAGATGGATTATTTGTCTTGTACAGTTTCCTATATTCTGGATTTGCTGATTGTCTCCCTGTATTGTCTTTTAAACTCTGTTTCTGAATTCTAAATCTTCTCTAAAGTGGTAATTAAATATAGTGGTCTGAAAGATGCAAGCTTTTTTGGTTTTTATTTTTCCACGCAGTATTATGGATATAATATGACACCTGACTGTGTGTCTCTTTGTGATGGTAAGGAGTTATCGGCCTTATCCATCCACGATAAAGTTCTTCAAAAGTTTACCAAAAAAGATTTCAAGGTTAAATTTTAAATTGGATACAACATTTTATGAAAAAGATAAAAGGAAAGCTAAAGAAAATAAGAGACCAAACTATATTCATATGGTTTAAATCTGTCAATTTGCAAGGAATAGTGCAAGACTATGTGAGAAATGTATGTATATCAAAGATGATGTTTGATAAAAGATATGCAAAAATTTCTGTGTGAGACAGGAGGAAACAGTCCTAAAGGAAAGATACTCTTAAAACTCTATTCCCTAACAAAGCAAATTGCAGCTTCGAACTATGTCTCTTTAATTAGGGTTGCTGTTGTTATGAATAACCAAAGGTCTTGATCATGCTATTACTGGCTTTGATGCAATAAATAGAATAGTAATATTTTTGTCAGATGGGAGGTTATATAGTTAAAAAACAGTTGTGTTCTGAGACTGAACAGTTTGCTGAGGCTCTGTAAGATTATTGTGAAGGGCATAAATATTTAACAACTTTTCTCCCTACCCAAATTTAGAATTCTCTAAGAGAAAGAAAGAAAAAAGTAAGAAAAGTTTTTACAGGAAGAAAAAAAAGCTATACTCAACTGGATTGTAGTGATTGGATCATGCAATATTGATTTACTGTCATAAATTGTGCACAGCCAGATTTTGCTGACTGTTGTAAGTTGAGCTTCTAACGTGTCAGAAATCCAAATCTGTATTATTTCTAATATATGAGTAGAATTTAAATTAATTCAATAGCAATGAGCCCTGCATTTTTTTCAGTAATGAGAAGTATCATTTACATCACCACTCTGTTCTTTGGATAAATAAATTTTTTAAAAAAATAACAGTTGTAATAGCCAGTGATCCAAAACTGCTAACCCTAAGTGATTCTTATTGCCTGTCCTCTATCTCCCATGGTTCTCATTTCAGGAAAAACAACTACTTGGTACTAAGTTCTTTCCTTTTACTATTCATTTTGCATTTCAGCTATTTCCTTCCATTTCCATGTGTTTAATCCATCTTTCACAAGCTATAGTATCACCTATATTTGATTTATTCTAGGCTTCACCTTCATTATTTTGATTTTCTTATGCTTCTTATTTCTCTACTATTCAGACAGAAATGTGTATTGTAGATATAGAGTTAATACATACCCCAAAAGGTACCCAAGAAGATTGCCATTTTGTCTTCTAGCACAAGGCTTCAGTGCCATGCTAGGCTTTTGGATTTTCTCTACACTGAGACTTAAATCCACTCTCTGCTTCTACTCTGAAACATTCCTGAGTTGTTATGTTAGCCTTAGAAGACAGAGCTATGTGAAAAGTCAAGTCCACTAACTATAGTATACTTGTTCAATTATTCAGTATTATTCAATACTCAATAAAAACATGGGACCAAATTTTGAGAAGTTAGATGAATAGCTGGAATCTGATAGAAGAGGAGGATGAGTTGATGAAAGAACAAGTAGTTGGAAGAAGTTGGAAGGAAAGTAGTTTCATAGGTTAAGAGAACAGAAATCAGTTAATTTTCAGTAAAATAGTTTAAATTAGTTCCATTTAAATATTACACATTTACATCAGAAAGGTAAATTCTATTCACCTCTTCATTATTATTTATCACAGGGATTATGATCGAGAACAGTTTGCTGATAACCAAATACCGCTGTTGGTAATAGGGACTAAACTGGACCAGATTCATGAAACAAAGCGCCATGAAGTTTTAACTAGGACTGCTTTCCTGGCTGAGGATTTCAATGCAGAAGAGATTAATTTGGTGTGTATTTTGACTAATGCATGCTTGTATTATTATCAGGTAAAGACCAAACTAAAGACATATTCAAGTCATATATTCTAGTAAAAGAAACTTTGTACTTGAAATCAGACTATTTGGATTCTAGTCTAAAATGTAGTCAAGATTGGAATCAACATATGTAGACTGAGAGATGTGTACAGTCATTTTGGCCTTTTATGTTGACCTGTTGAAATGTTCAAACTTTATTCTGTGAATAATTTAAATCATGGGCTTTTCTTTTTTTTTTTTTTTTTTTGAGACAGAGTCTCCCTCTGTCACCCAGACTGCAGTAGTACAGTGGCATAATCTCAGCCCACTCTAACCTCCACCTCCTGGGGTCATGCAATTCTCGTGCCTCAGTCACCTGAGTAGCTGGGATTACAGGTGTGTACCACCATGTCCAGCTAATTTTTTTATATTTTTAGTAGAGATGGGGTTTCTCCATGTTGCCCAGGCTGGTCTCAAACTCCTGACTGTAAGTGATTTGCCCACCTCAGCCTCTGAAAGTGCTGGGATGACAGGCGTGAGCCACTGCACCTGGCCCAATGGGCTTTTTCTTGAGAAAGTTTTTAAAAATCACACCAAAATTAAAATAAATTGATAAAAATGACACTATGAGTTGATTATTCTTGCTTTTACAATGCCTCTTAGCTTCTTAAACTACAAATTTTACCTTAAAGGGCAACCTGACAGATATATGAGAAAATTACAAACCTTAAACTAGGAGTGCTTCATAAGGACTAATTTCTATACACTTATGCATATATAGAGAATTGAGTCCCTTGATGAGATAGCTAGCTCAATTAGAACTGAGTGCTTAAAAAAGCTAAAAAATGTTTGTCATGTAATTCCGTTAGGATCCCAGAAAAGAATCCTGGCCAGCAATTTCAGTCATGGTTATGTCATCGTTCACAAATAGGATTTTTGCAATAGGCCTTCCAGAAATACAGTGGTGGTGGTGTAATAGTACTAATGGCCAACGTTTATTAAGCACTTATGGGTTGAAAACTGTTTTAGGTATTTACATTCATTATCTCACATGCATCATCTTCACAATCAACCCTATAAGATAGGTACTATTACTATCCTCTTTTTAAAGATGAAGACAAGGAGAGAGATAATTAGACCAAGGTTACTCAGGTCAAATAGGGTATTCAGATTCAAAGCCTATGTTCTATGGTTAAGCCTCTTTTCCACTTAATTAATCCTTCAACTCACCTTGAGAATTTGGGGGCTGAAAAAACTTAGAAATCATCTAGACAAACAGTTACCCAAATCTGATTGTATATATATTACCAATAGTACCTATGGAAATTTTTGAATAACTGCCCCACAGCTGGAGCTTTTTATTCATAAAGCCTGGCAGGAGGACCAGGACTCTGTAGTTTTAACAAATAACTCAGGTGATTCTGATGCCCTTATTCTGTGAATCAATGTTGGTGAACACTGCTTCGTTCAACCCCACCTCTACCGCCAGCTTCTGCCTGCCAGTTGTTGTTTCTTTACATTCTGCTTTGCAATGGAGAGCCCCTCATTTTTCTCAGCTGCCACAATGGAATATTTGATGTGCATACCCCAGGTAGTTAGCACTGAACCATGATATTCCAAAGGATTCTTGCTACATAGATATATAATATTCTTGTTGAAAGGTGCAGAGATTACATTGAACATCATTTCCAAAGGGAAATTTACCAATAAAAACACCTGAATTTGTTCCAGTGGTTACTTTTAATATATTTCAGAATGTATCTGTTTCTAGTGCTGGTGGGTTTCTGTGATAATTGTGCATACATGTGTGTGTGTGTTATTCCTACTTCCCTTGCAAAGGCAAGGCCATCTTTTAACTATAAGTCAGATGTAAATGTACTCAGAAAGTGGGACTTTAGCACACACGATCTCCAAAGAGTTCAAATATAACATGTTTTTGGCCTTTATTAGCATACAGCTTCAAGAACACAGCACAAATGACAATAGGAAAGGGTCAGAGAATGCAGGGAAGAAAAAATGAGAGGAAATTGAATATAAGAGCTTCAAAAAGAAATAGCAATCAAAAAGATTCAGCAAGTAAATATAAAGAAAGCCTCAAATAAAAACGAATGTAACAATATTAGTGCTAACATGAGTTACTGTATGAATTTACTTAAACTGTAGAAAAGATTTAACAAATGTATATATCAAAGATGGAATCAAAGTTAATAACTGCCTGAATAAATGTGAATTGTTTAAATTATAAATAGGTGAATGATTACTTATTTTCTAAAATCGTGTTAGGCTTATTGTACCCCATAAAAATTTTCTCTGTTATGTATTTATTTTGAAGTGATCATATTGAAGTATCTCCTATAATTAATAGTCCTTTCTCAAGCTCAGACAAGCTATTTGGAGCTATTAATTTTCAGGTTTTTCCCTCAGCCATGATAAATGGCAGATGGCTCTTTCAGCTCTAAATTTTTCATCCTAAAAATCATAGTGTTTCTCTAGGCTGGTCAACCTGAAATTACGGAACCATAGAATTAAGGTTTGGGGGGTGTTTTTTTGTTTGCTGTTCGATTTAGTTTTTGTATTTAGTACTTTAGCTTTATTTAGAATCATCTCAAACTTTTGACATTCTGATGACTAGCTAATCAATATCTATTTTGTAAAACATTTCTACCACAGGTCTAAGGTTTGTCTCTTATAGGCCCCAACTGCTGTAGAAATGTGTTCAAACACTACTTTAAATACCATAGTTTGTGCAATGATGTTTCAGTCTACGTAATACATATATGGAATTATCTTTATTATGGTAAGTGCTTGTTGTGCCTGAAAATTGAATCTGCTAGCATTTTCTTAGATTGAAGAGAGAAGATGACTAATATTTTAGTACCCACTATGTCCAAGTATGCATTATTTAATTTTTTACAAAAATCCCATGGGATAAAATATTGTTATCCCATTCCACAAGTCAGTAAGCCCAAATTTCAAGGTTTAGTAACCTAACCAATGTTACACAGACTAGAAATGTTGGGATGGATATTCAGATTCAGAGCTTGCCGGCTTTGAAGACCCTTGATTTCTAGTACTCTGTGATCTTTGACAACTTTGTTGTAGTCTCTCTTTTTTGTGATTTTAGAGAATGTATTATAATTTTTGGCCAAAGTTTAAAATGCAAGCCTTGAAATGTTGCATATGAATAAAATAGGAGGCTTCATTAGAAAGGAATCATGTGGACTTGGAGACTGCAAAAACAGAATAAATGTAACAACAGTAATTTCAGTAATTTGTAGGAACACAGAGGGTCTATAGCTAAAAGACAAAATTTCATGCTTGCAAAGGAGCTTACATGGTAGCCCTTATAATTTGGTCTTAGGTGACATTTTAGGTAAAAATCAAAATACTCTATCTTTCAAGGTAGCAAGTCAATGGTGACAAGCAAAAATAAAAAGCTATACTGGAATTCCAGTGGATCATAGGCCTTTTAAGGTCTTTGCAAAGTTATTGTAATTATTACTGTTCCAGATCATTTTGTCCCTTCTGGGCCCCATTTTTTTTTTTTTCTATAAAAAATCCCATCTTGTTGGCCACTGCCTGGAATGTAAAAAGAAAAAGAAAAAATAAATTCCATCAAAGAGTAGTAATATGTCTTTATTATCAAACAATCGTAGTAGATGTTTATTACCAAAAATAATATATCTTTGTGGCCTACCAAAAGATGTAGTACCTTGCATCCAAAGAGTGAGAAATCCTTGGCAATTGTTGGGTTTGTTCTTTGTGCCTCTAAATCCTTATTTTCCTACTTTCTCCTATTCATGTGAACTGCATAGTACTAAATTAGTTAAGTACTGGTGAATAACTAGTACTAAAAGTGAAACGCTGTTTTTAATGGCGCTCTCTCTGGTTTTCAGGGTAAATTAGGTAGGTCACTCCCATTAGTATCTTGGTTTTGTTATTAGTAAAATATTAGTAATCTTGTTTTCCCTGTGAATGATTTAATGATGAATACTTTGATTTTTTGGTATACTCTAAAATTGCTTAAACAACAAAGATTAGGTGGCCTTATTTTCCTTTAGTACTTTCCTTGCTTTGTGCATCATAATTTGAAAATTACTTGAATATTTTATGAGAGTATTGTGCCTATAAAAATATGTAACAGGACAGGTTATAAACAGCAAAGAGCTTGGGTTTCCTAACTTTCAATTGTGGATTTTATGTTTTATCTTCTAGGATTGCACAAATCCACGGTACTTAGCTGCAGGTTCTTCCAATGCTGTCAAGCTCAGTAGGTTTTTTGATAAGGTAATAACTTCAATTCAGTTATTTTTAAACTTAATTTATATATTATGAGAATTAAAATTTTTTTTGTAGAATCCTATGACCCTTTATTTTTTTGTCCAAAACTTTACAGCCTGAATACTTGTTTTGATCTCTCTCATCTGTTGGTATAATTGCCCAAGGTTTGCTGACATATTTGTTCCATCACCAGTGTTCTCTAAGTAAAAGGTAAAAGCTACTGGATTTAAATGGGGGTTTTAAAAAGATACCTAAGTCCTCTCCTTAAAAGAATTTCTATTTACCCATTTTCTCACTCTTTTTTTCACTTATTCACCCTCCCACTCCCACAAAGGCACTGAACTGAGGAGATTCTGCCTAAAGCCCTGAGTTCTTTTTGTTCTCTCACCTGTTAACATTTCCCACATAAATATTACTGTTACCTTTTAAGATAATATTGTCTTCTTGATTTCCTAGTGTTCCCCTCTCAGAACACTATTGCATTCCAATTATTGACTTTCTGCTAGCATCGTTTTATTGTCCTCAACTGGAAGGAAAATGTGGAATGACTCAGCATACTGGTAAATTAGAGCACTGTTTGTCTTTCCTTCACAAGGCCATACACCTGCATTGCACGTAGTATAGACCAAGTTTAAGTTGTTTGCTTAATATTGAAATTGCATAGTAAGGTAAAATAGGATGTCCTTCTGCATATATTATTGAAAAAGTTTAATTCCTGTATTATATTTCTTTTTAAGTGTCTTTGCCTAAGAAGATCATCTTCCTATCGCTCTTCTTAATGAATCACTTTTTTTTCTTTTAAGTATTTAGGGATTTAATATTTGACCCTTTTGTTCAGCGTTAGATAAGTCCCAGCTTTAGATAATTTGGAATTTAATATTTGGCCTCTTTGTCATCATTAGATAAGCCCCAGCCCCCTCCTTGATTAATATTAGGCCACTAGGAAAATCTTGCTTCACTGCAGAACTTCTTAACTGGTATGTGGCAAATAGGATACAGATGTGCTTATATACTGATTTCTCTCAGTTCTCAGAGCAGCCAGAGCCCTCAGGGTGGGAGGTTGGGTGATTGGCAGCCTCTTCCATTTTCCCCAGTGTGCTGTACAAATATTAGCATTTTCTATGTGTGCCATGACATGAAAAATGTTGTGCAGCACTGCAAGGAGCCAGATTTTCTCTCCCCATTGTTTTCAAACTTAAAATGTAAGAATTTCCATTTGGTTTAGATCCATGGCCCCATCAATACAAATCCTGTCCCCTAAGGGCAACATCTTGTAGATCTGAAAGATCCCACAGTGTGTTGTTTAAATTTTAAAATAACTTATTAGTTCTAAAATTTAAAAATAAGATATACTAAATTATATCCTAGAGAAACCGGTTATTAAATGGTATAATCCAAGTTGTCAGGCAAAGCTTTATTTTTTATTTATTTTGAGACGGAGTTTTGCTCTTGTTACCCAGGCTGGAGTGCAATGGCGCAATCTCAGCTCACCGCAACCTCCGCCTCCTGAGTTCAGGCAATTCTCTTGCCTCAGCCTCCTGAGTAGCTGGGATTACAGGCACGCACCACCATGCCCAGCTAATTTTTTGTATTTTTAGTAGAGACGGGGTTTCACCATGTTGACCAGGATGGTCTCGATCTCTTGACCTCGTGGTCCACCTGCCTCGGCCTCCCAAAGTGCTGGGATTACAGGCTTGAGCCACCGTGCCCAGCCGCAAGGCTTTATTTTTTTTTAAAAATCAGAAGTAAACATTGCAAGTCAGGGGTAAGGAATTATGACCAAAACCAAAAAGTTACTTTCTCTTTTTATTGTCTAAATCACAACAAAAGGTATGTGGGTTAGGAGGTTGGCCAGACCTCCAGACTGAGGTGGTTGCCTGAAACCAAAGGAGCTGACAACCAAATTTCATCCAGTTTTCTATATATCAGTTCTTCCAGAATTTAGCATAAAAATTTCTTCTCCAAAAGGAAATCTAACTCCTTCTCCAGCCTCTTTCAACCAGTAGTAACTCCTCTCACTCCAGAATAATCAGATTTTCCTGTCCTGCCATAGAGTCTCCTTCTTGGTTTTTGTGGGATTGTTTTAAGATGTACACTAATAATGAACCAACTTTTCTACCTCTGGGGTAAGTGAATGCAACTTTGCCCTGGGTATCTTGTGGCTAAAAATAATATAGCCATAATCTCTAAGACAGCAAGAATCTGAATGAATGGTTGTCATACCAGAGGGAGAAAGCTGGCATTGGCCTTGGAAGAACATGCTCTGTTCTCATTCAGAGGAATTCTTAGCTGCATAATTTCAGATTTGAATGCCTTGAAGTTCATCTCCAGCTGATCTGTATTATTACCTGGTTAACTTTTCTTATCACAGCAAGTCTGTGTAAAGAAAATACAGATAGTCCTCAGCTTACGATAGGGTTATATCTCAGTAAACCCCTTGTAAATTGGAAACATTGTTAGTCAAAAACACATGTATTATACCTAACTTACCAAGCATCACAGTTTAGCCTAGCCTTCCTCAAACATGTTCAGAACACTTACGTTAGCCTATAGTTGGGCAAAATCATCTAACACAAGCCTGTTTTATTAAAAAGTTGTGAATCGCTCATGTAATTTTATTGAATACTATACTGACAGTGAAAAAAGTGCCCATTGTATGGGCACTGAAGGTACAGTTTCTACTGAATGCATCTTGCTTTCACACCACCATAAAGTCAAAAAATTGTACTCAAGCTATCCTAAATCAGAGACCGTTTAGCCATTGCAGTTTCTCAAGTGTTAGAACAGAATTTATTATTCTTGAAAATATTTTTCATCATATGGAAACATGGTGCTCTTCAGTGTTTATAGCAGTTTGGGGGGAAAAAATCAATGAAAACATGGTGCTCTTAAACTCATTACATTTGAACATATATTGTGAGGATTTCTTTTCAAAAATGGTGATGGATTTGTGCAAATGCATCTACTGCTTGAACTTGTTTTTTCTACTTATCAAATGCAGGCAATTCTGAAACTACTGAAGTAAAGGTGCAGTTAGTTCAAAAAAAAGAAGTAAACAATACAACAGTCATTAGAATGCTTTTGATGTTGTGTCATCTGTTTATATTGAGGACATATGGAATTTGTTACCACTTACTATAAGGATGTGGTGGTTTGCTGCGTTAAGCAGTCTCCTCTTTAAGAAATAGACAAGACTATTGTAGCAGGCAAATGCTTTTTTTATCTTGTGGATTTTGTTTAGGACATTTTGGGACTGACTGCTAGGAAACAGAGTCAGATTTGCTGCCATACTCTAAGAATTGCATGGATGTCATTCTATCATTATTTAGTTTTTGTTATTCATTTATTTTTTGATCTATCATTAATGCTTTTTGGAATGAGGCAGGCTTTTATGGAAATTCTCCCACAATTCTGATCTCATTAACACCGAATTTTTAGCTCACTCTACTACATATCTACTACTATGGAAAAGATTCTTATTTTGCATATATTCCTTTTAGTACCATTAGTAGTCATTGCAGTTAGCCACTTTTTCCAGGTATATGTGCTAAGCCCTTAAAATCTTTGTTTTTCACAGGTCATAGAGAAGAGATACTTTTTAAGAGAAGGTAATCAGGTTGGTATCTATTTTTTCTTGATAAAATGGATTCTTAAATTTAGATAGATGATTTCCAAATTTAAGTTCAGAAGTGGTTTTTAAAAGTTGCAGAAAGCCCTTTGTAGGCATGAGCAACTGATTTCCTTCTATCCTGTTTAATTGAAAAGGAGAAAAACAGAACGAAGGGAAAATCAGGGTCTAGGAAACAAGAATAATCTAGGAATAAGAATACATTATAAAATAGAAAAAAAAAGAATTTCCTTGCGACTCCAAGAGTATACGTTCAGAGTCTGTCACAGTACAAATAATTTATATAAAAGTCTAGTAGGTATTATGAGATTTATCTTCATTCTTTCTGATTTAGATGACACTGTCACCAATTTGTTGGCAAATATTTTCCATTTTGGTAAACTTCCTTTTTATTATTTAATCTGTGGTTTTCTGAGCAAAACCTCAGAAAGCTGTTTTCTTTTTTAAAGGAAAAACAGGCTGACATACAGAAATGGAAAAGAAGAAAAAAATTACTATTAGTATTTGAACTTTTATTTCCTGAGATTTAATGTAATTATCTTTCTTGCCTACAGATTCCAGGCTTTCCTGATCGGAAAAGGTTTGGGGCAGGAACATTAAAGAGCCTTCATTATGACTGAGTTACACTCGTCCTTGGAAGAGTGAGCAAGCAGTGGCAGTCTTTCACAGCTTTCCTCTTGCTGTGTCAATTATTACCATCACAGCCTTTTAACAAAGTAGTCTTAAAATGCTACCCTTCAGCCTCACCCTTTAATGGAAAAATGAAAAGTAGTGACAACATGGGAGGTCCAAACTTTGTTCCTGTTCTCTGTATTCCTCACCTTTCTGTCCCTGTTTATAGATTATGTAAAAGCCTTGTGGAAATATGAGATGTTGTCAAAATGATGCAGTAAATGAGCAATGACAGTATACTGCAAAGAAAATTTACTCTTGCCTAGAACTGGAGGGTTTTTATGGGTCTGTAATTTTCCCACACTCCCTGCTGAAGGCTTAAGTACTTGAAAAAGTGTATCTCTATTGTTTTACCTTCTTGAGGGGAAAGGTCTTGTTAACCAGCCCGGAGTTGTCCACCCCAAACAATCTCTGTCATTTTCAAAGATGCAAAATGGTGTTATTTAATTGTCTCTACCCTCATCACACACAGAAATGTCTAATAATAGCAACCCTATCTCCCTCTTCTCTCCTTTGCAAATGGCTCAGTGACTGGAAGAGGCAGACTAATAGCTAGAGTTAAATATAAATACAGATTAATAATACATAGAGAACAGCAATACCAGAAAAAAAGAATTCTGGTAAAATGATGTGAAAAATTGACAGCTCCCTTACTCTTCAGGTTGCTACTGTCTGTAGTCTCTTGCTGTTTTGTTTGGAAATAGGAAGGGTAAAATCTAAGACCTGCACAAGGGCAGTGAGACACATTTACAGCCTCCTCTCCATTTTTTTTTTTTTTTAAGGAAAAGTCAACTCCTGAAATGTTCCTTGGCTATAGTCAGAAAACTAAGAATATTATTCTTGTGTCAACAATTTTTTATGGAGAGAAGTAAAAATAAGTTCCACAGCAACACATTTACATGAATTATGAACTAGGATTCTTGGATTTCATAATCACTTCAAAGCTTTTTGGGGGTGGGGGGGGTGTGGTGTGTGTGTCCCCATAATAGTTCATCATTACTTTCTCCAGCCTTTCTTTACTTCCTCTTTGAAAGGACCTACCCCTGGTTTCTTTCTGACACAAAGAAGAGCTATGCAAATCATGATCTGTATGTAGAATTGGTCATAGTATGCTGTGGCATAGGCTGTATAGTTGGTAAGTAGAAACCAAGTGTTTCACAGAGACTTAAACCAACTAAAGCTCTTTGTATTTCTCTTTAAAAAATAAATTAAAACCCCTTCCTTCCCTCTGCTCTCTTCCTCTTTCAATGAAAAAAAAACAATTATCCTGAACTTTTTATTTTCTATCTTATAAAAAAAAAAAATAGGCCGAGCACAGTGGCTCATGCCTGTAATCCCAGCACTTTGGGAGGCCAAGGTGGGTGGATCACTTGAGGTCAGGAGTTTGAGACCAGCCTGGCCAACATGGCGAAACCCCGTCTCTACTAAAAATATAAAAACTAGCCAGGCCTGATGGTACACGTCTGTAATCTCAGCTACTTGGGAGGCTGAGGCAGGGGAATCACTTGAACCCCGGAGGTGGAAGTTGCAATGAGTTGAGATTATGCCATTGCACTCCAGCCTGGGTGACAAAGCAAGAATCCATCTAAAATAAATAAATAACAAAAAAGTAAATCATTGTTGATGGTTCCAGGGTCAAGGTTCCAGGAATACTGGAAAAATTAACAGTATTCCTCAACTCCATTTCTTTCTGCAGCCAAGCCTGATTCCTTGAATTATAGTTTTCTAAGAAAAAGTCGTTTTTAATAATCTAAGGTAAATTTGTTGCAGTTATTTTTTGTTTGTTTTTGTGTTTTGTGTTTTTTTGTTGTTGTTGCAGTTATTAGCAGCAGCATAATAAGGCTTTTCACCCAAATGAATGTTATTAGTTAGATTTCTTCAAAAAAGAATGTTTTTGAAGCATACTTTTTGCTAGGACTTCTTGAGAACTACTCATAAAAAATGCTTTTAGATAATAAGTATACATGTCAAAATATATTATTTTTTAAGTATAATTGTCCAGGTGCTGTGGCTCACACCTTTAATCCCAGCACTATAGGAGACCGAGGTGGGAGGATCACTTGAGCCTAGGAGTTTGAGGCTGCAGTGATTCATGATTGCACCACTGCCTTCCAGCAGCCTGGATGATGGAATGACTCTATCTCTTTACATATGTGTATCTTACTCTCTTGATGGGACAAGTTGGTAGCAATAAAGATTGTTTTTTCAGTTGTGATTTAGATCTCTAACCAATTTTCTGACTCATTGTGGAGCTGACCAGATGTGAAGGCATATATATGACCACTCCTCTGCCCCTTGGGTGGGTAACACTTAGTTGGAATCCAACTAAAGATTTAAACTGGTCTCTCTCCCTTAATATTGATGGGATTCAGGGCATACAACCCCGAAATATTGCACCCTGATATCTAAGAAAACTGAGTACAGGGTTTCTCACACCTTCCCCTCTGAAGCAGGCCATAAAACCTAAGTGACCTTCCCCTGAAGTAGATCAAAAACCTTTATTCCACAGATACCCTTTATCCTCACAGATACAGAGACACCAAGGAGAATCTGAACAAACAGGACTTGCTGAGTTCTCCACAGCTTATTTTTATTAGATTATATCCTTTTGTCCTCTGATTATACTTCCACATGAGACTGTACATAAAAATACACAGGTTTTCCATCTTCATTTCTGAAGATTTCTGTCACATAAAACTTAAATAAATTTGTGTACTTTTCTCATTAATCTGTCTTTTGTTATAGGTGCCTCAGTCGTGAACCTAGTGATGGGTGAAGAAAGAAAGCTATTCTCCCCTTCAGTGCTCTAAGAAAAGCTATTCCCGAAAGAATTGATTCATATTAGCTTTAGCTTGGGTTCTTAGAATTTCCCAAACTTGAGGTATTCATGGTATAATACAGGTGCCCTGACACTTGTTTTTCTGTCCATTCTGCAAATGGACTTCATGGAACTGATATGCAGGGCCATCAGACTGAGGTGAAGAGCTCCTAATTGCTCCCTAATCAGAGTTTCTGAGTCCTCATTTCAATAGTGTGCAGTAACACCCACCATAGTTAGGACCTTGTATGGGTTACTAGACGGTGGCTTAATTGAAATTTTTAAAGCACAGGTAACATCCTATTTTAAGAAGTTTAAAGGTCTAACAAGGTGTCTATTGGTTTAATATCTGTTCAAATTCAAAGGAGGATTCTGTTTTGGTGAAAGGAGGAGAAGGAAATTAGAAATTCATTTATCCGCAGTCCCAAGACTGAGCTATATCACTGTGATGAGAGAGGAAGGTTTCCAGGAAATCCAACCCTGTGTCTTAAATATTTCACAGTATGTTTGCCTATGCAAAATATCTGATGCTGGAATCAGCTGAGGCTGCTCTATAGAGTAGTAAAGGTATTAGGCATCCAGTTACAATTAATCTGCACCTCCATTAAGGACTTAAATGGAGGGTTTTCAAACTCAAAAGTGTGTGAGACTCCCTTGAAATCCTTGCTTAAAATGCAGATTCCAGGATTTCCTCTCTCCCCTTTCTATATGTATAGGATAAAGCCAGGATTTTGTTTTTTTAACAGACAAACCAGGTTATTCTCATGCAGATAAGTCAGGATCTAGCCTTTAAGAAAGACAAACTAATCAAAAAGTAGAGAATATAGATTGTACCTTAGGAGTGCCATTATAGCAGAATGCATCAAAGCTCATCTTTGGCTGCCTCAACCTAACCTCACCTTAATGAACTGAGCCACTCCTCCCCACTCAAAGCTACACATACTGAGTTCAACATGAGATGATTGTCATGTCTTCTGTTGGCAAAACAGGAAATATATCTCTTTCATGTACTGCTGTCATTTTTATTACTGCCACTGTTTTCCCTCCAGGTTCTGTTTTAAATCCAGATAGCTTTATTTCTAATCAGTGCCTTGCCATCTTACACCCCCTCTCTAGTACCATGTTTTCTCAGCTGGATAACCATTAAGCTTTACCAAGGTCATCAGTAACTAATGATAAAGAATGGAACCCCCAAACTCCAACCAAGATGTAAAACCTTGCTCAGTACCATCAAGTATATCAGGTAATCTCTCCGTTCCATCTTTTTCTTAGAGACATCTGTCCTGGAGTCCTCTGATCCCTAACTCCATTTTGTAGTGATTATTCTGTAGGCTTGTCACCCCTGCTTCACATTACCATGTAGCAATTCCAAGCTTTCTGGATAAAATGTTTTCCACTTTCTTGGGGTGGGTTAGTGGTCTGCAAATTGAAATGGGTACAGGCATCCCCTCTAAGAGGTATAAAAGCACAGATAGTTTTAAGGGAATCATTTTCCAGATCACCAATTGCCCTGCGTAAATCTTTGTTTAAATTGATCTGTTTGTGAAGGCAGCTCAGTGCTAGCTCTTATTTCTCACCTCTGTTTTCACAGTCACCCTTTCCCACTAAGGAAGAGCAGCATCTCACTAGTGGTATAATAGCACTCTAGTACATCACCCCAGGATGTAAATGTCTTCAGGATGCCAACAAAAGGACAATTCTAAATATTTGTTTTGTGTAAGGACTTCACTGTTCCATTCCCCATTATTATTATTTGTTTAATACAGGGTTTCTGAAAGCAAAGCAAAGAGAGCTTTAGTCAAAAATACACAAGTTTGTAGCATCTTTTATGGCAGAACTTCTGTCTGGTCTGTCAAAATATCAAAAAGCATTTTATCAAAAAATTATGTGGCGAAAGTATATAAAATTATTATTATTATTATTTGAGATGGCGTTTCACTCTTGTTACCCAGGCTGGAGTGCAATGGCACAATCTCGGCTCACCGCAACCTCTACCTCCTGAGTTCAAGCAATCCTCCTACCTCAGCCTCCCGAGTAGCTGGGATTACAGGCACGCGCCACCGTGCCCAGCTAATTTTTGTATTTTCAGTAGAGACGGGGTTTCATCTTGTTGACCAAGATGGTTATGATCTCGACCTCGTGGTCCACCTGCCTCGGCCTCCCAAAGTGCTGGGATTATAGGTGTGAGCCACCGCACCCAGCCCATAAAATTATTTTTATTTCCTAGTTCTTTCTGAGTAAACGAGACAAAGCATCTCCGATGTGTTTTGGCTGTATCCCCACCCAATTGTCATCTTGAATTGTAGTTCCCATTATCCCCACGTGTTGTGGGAGGGATCTGGTGGAGATAATTGAATCATGGGGGCAGTTGCTCCCATCCTGTTCTCTTGATAGTGAGTCCTCACAAGATCTGATGGTTTTATGAGGGATTCCCCCTTCACTGGGCACTCATTCTCTCTCCTGCCACCTGAAGAAGGACACGTTTGCTTCCCCTCCTGCCATGAGTTTAAGTTTCCGGAGGCCTTCCGAGCCATGCAGAACTGTGAGTCAAACCTCTTTTCTTTATAAATTACCCAGTCTTGGGTATTTCTTCATAGCAGCATGAGAAGGGACTAATACAACCTCTAAGTGAAAGCATAATATTTAATTAAAATGAATGATTCCAGTAGCTGAGTAATTAAGCCTTTTCTTCAGGTTTCCAATTATTTGCTTTCAATGCAATTAAAGAAAGAAGAACCTAACTGAGTTGTTGATGGATGGATGATTTTTTTAAAATAATTTTTAAATGTTTTGTATAAAATGTCTTAATCTATGATAAAATATTGATAGATCACTGATTTTTTGAGATTTAATTCCAAAGAAGTGAGATTATAACAAAATTTCATTTATATCTACTTATTTATGTGAACAAATTTCTCCACTTAGTTCTATAAAACCAAAAAATAGAATGAAATGATACTGATAAAATGGTACTAAAGTATTGTCTCATTTTAGAAATTAGAATTAGAAAGAAGAATTGTATATTCATGGATATTTAATTAAAGAGGGGATATCTACCTCATTAAAATAAGCATTTCCAGAAAGATTATATTTATATTTTCCTAAATATATTGTATTTACAGGCCACTCTCTTAGAGAAGTAACCTCCAGTCTCCTATCTGGAGGGAACACTTGCTGATAACATTCTGGAAATGTAGTGGGAGAAAGAGGCTGGAGGTTTTATCACTGCCAATTATACTTAATTTTGGTGCTACCCACCCCTCCACTTGCTAGTGTCTTTTTTTCTGGAGCAGAGAATAAACCTCCTATCTTGCACTAGAATCTGGGAGGGGCAGACACCTAAAGTTTCATATTTCTGCTGCTTTTCAGGTTCTCTGCCTCACACATTCCCCATATTGGTTCATTGAATCCATCCTTCTCTGCCTGGTTTTTTATCAACTTTTGTTTTTTGTCTCTCACAGCTTTGATACTGTGACCTTTCTCTGCTCCTGTATGTGTTTGACTTACCCATACACACAGTCTACTCCTTCCACTGCGTGTCTTTGAATGCTGATCCCCTGTCCAGAAGATACCTTCTATTTCTCCTGCTCCCTAGAAGCTTTTCCTGACTGGATACCTCCATTCCAATTTCAGTTGCATTGCCCTAAACACAGTTTATTGCATAAATTGCACTTCTGTTTTTCTCTTTGCACACCTTGTTCTCTCTGCTCACTGCCCTTTCTGTCCAACTCTTACTTTAGGTGACTTGGCTCAGACATTATCGCCTCTGGGAAGCCCTCCTTGGCTCTGCTCATCCAGGCTTTGTGCCCCCTAGAACCCTGGGCTATTCTCTGTCAGAGCACTTATACTATGTTGTGATGGTTTTCAAAAACTGTTAAATAAATGAATGTATAATTACATTAATTAAAATGGAAAGCCATTAGACATAGAACAAGAACTATCTGTAGCTGTGTGTTTTTTATTCTCATATCCCAGCAGGACATGGTGGCTCATGCCTATAATTCCAATACTTTGAGAGGCTGAGGCCGGAGGATGGCTTATGCCCAGGAGTTCAAGGCTACAGTGAGCTGCGATGTTGCCCCTGCACTCCAGTTTGGGTAACACAGCAAGACTCTGACTCTAAAAAATAACATTAAGTCAGGTTCAGTGGCTCATATCTGTAATCCCAGGACTTTGGGAGACCAAGATTGGAGGATGGTTTGAGGCTAGGAGTTCAAGATCAGCCTGGGCAACATGGCAAGACCTCATCTCTACTAAAAATTTTTTAAAGTAGCCAGGTGTGGTGGTGTGTGCCTGTAGTCCCAGCTACTCAGGAGGCTGAGGTGGGAGGATCACTTGAGCCCAGGAGGTTGAGGCTTCAGTGAGCCGTTTTTGTGCCACTGCACTCCAGCGTGGGTGATAGAACAAGAATCTGTCTCAAAAAAAAAATAAATAAATAATAAAATAATATGTTAATATCCCGTGTGTATATTCTTTCCTTTTAGAAGGAATAGATGTATTCCATTTTAAATATTTTCAGGCCCCTCAAAGTAATTTTCATTCAGTCAAGGAACTGTTAACACTTTCTTACCCCTTCAGAAGTTTCACACCTTAGGAAAGAATCAAAACACCTCTTAAATCTACCTTCAAAGCTGGTTCAATGGAAATAACATAGAAAGTTTGTTGAAAAATCAGGCAGTAAAGATTTTCCTTTATCTTATTAGCTCTCATTTATTTTCTTATCTAACTACCAACTGCTAACTTCCAGGATCTATAAAGATTGAAGACCCAAGGTACTCATAAACTCAGATACACAAGAGATCTTGTCTTCGAATTCACTTTCTGAGTATGCTTGTTATAGGAATAGTGAAAACTTAGCCTCAATAAAGCTGGGGTCTCCACCTACCTTCCTCCCAGGTTAGCATATGAATTCCAGAGTAGTTTACATCATACCACAATGTTATCTATCTTTGCTGATATATGCTGAGATTAGCATATGAATTCCAGAGTAGTTTACATCATACCACAGTGTTATCTGTCTGTGCTGATATATGCTGAGATTTCCTATCAGTCCACAGGCGTAGGTCCACAAGGTTGGCTACCAGCCTGTCACTTGTTTTCTGTCAACATGTCCCGTTTGGTCTGGCCCACTCTGTGCTAGCACCTCATATGCAGGCAGTCATTTTTCTGCTACTGCAGTATGCTGGAGCCTGGGGATCCCTGGAGGTTGTTTAAACCCATTTGTCTAAAGCAGAGGGTCTGAAACTGGCATCCTGGAGCTGCTTCAAATCTGCACGTTTCTCAACCTGCATGATTATTTCAGTTATTTATCACTGCTTAGCAAACCATCCCAAATTTTAGTAGTGTAAAATATACCATTCTATTTGTTCCCAATTCTGTGGCTCAGCAGTTTGGCCCAGATTTAACTGGTGGTTCTTCTGCTGGTCTTGCCTGAGATCACACATGTGTCTGCAGTCACCTAGCAGCTAGACTGCCTCATTCACATGTCTGGCAATCACTGTGGGGTTTGCAGGGCTGTTGCCTTGATCTCTGGAGCCCAGCTCAGCTACTTTGCACAGTGTCTCCAGCTGTAAGAATTGGACCTGTCTTAAGGCACAAACACTTTTCAAACTCTGTGTCATGAAACACTTTTCAAACTCTGTGTCATGTTTGCTATTGGCCAAAGAAAAAGACCCTACCTCTTGATGGGAGGAACAGCAAAGTCACATTCAAAGGGGCACATATACAAGGGTAGGAGGAATTTCAGCATTTTTTGCCATCTATCACAGGGTAGTTTCTCTCTCTCTCTCTCTCTCTCTCTCTCTCTCTCTCTCTCTCTCTCTCTCTCATTCTAATTGCCAATGTTTAAAAATTGGAGCTTCATCTTATCTTGAAAAATCAGCTAGCCTATTTTATTCATTTATATTTCCTCCCTTGTCTGTTGGCATTTGAGTTGTGATAATACCTAGTTTATAAGATTGTTTTTGTGAAGTTAGATATGGAAAAATCTGACAAAAGCAGGCACTGAATATGTTTTCCCCTTTCCCCTTTACCTGCCAATGACCAAGGAGAGCAGCCAAGATGAAGAATGAGGAAGTCATAGAGTAGGTGACTGGAGAGTAATCCCTTGGTCTGTTTTAGAAGTATAAAAGCATTAGGAAACAAAACTCTTAAAGAGTTTATAAGAAAACTAAATGTACTTTTAGAAATTAAAAAGAGCAATAGGAAACATCTCAGTTTGCTCTAAATGAACTGTTTCAGGCTCTGCCAGTAGATGACTGGATTACAACCAGGATATGTTTGAATGCAAAGTCCAGGCTCAGAAAGGGGTCTTAATGGCTCCTACTAAACTGGTATCTTAAGGCAAGGAAAGAGAATATGTCCCTAATGTCTAAAACTATGCCTAATACTTACCCAAAAACCTGAGCTCATTCCTGGGAGGCACCTGCAGAGAACTGAGTGGTTCTGGTCCCGATGCTTGTCTTCAGGTGGCTGTGTGTAAACATCTTACCCCAGTGTAAACATTTGGAGGTGGTAAATGTCTGGGGGTTTTCTCACTGCCCTCCAGACTCAGTACTGCCTGTTCCTTTCTAGCCTGAGTCAGAACTCAGCAGAGAACCCTCCAACACACAGAGCAGGCACTGTCTGCCACAGTTCCTTTCCCTGATAGCTTCAAATTCTCTGCCCTTTGAAATAAGCCTCCTTTTAACTTGAACAAATAATTGGTCAATATCTACCTCAAGTGAAGAGGAGCCCACCCTCTGCAAACACATAGGAACAAACTGTTTAAAAACCAAAGCATTTGTGTAAGCAGTTAAGTCAACATGGTGAAACCCCGTCTCTACTAAAAATACAAAAAATTAGCTGGGTATGGTGGCGCATGCCGGTAATCCCAGCTACTCAGGAGGCTGAGGCAGGAGAATTGCCTGAACCCAGGAGGCGGAGGTTACAGTGAGCCTAGATTGCGCCATTGCACTCCAGCCTGGGTAACAAGAGCCAAACTCTGTCTCAATAAATAAATAAATAAATAAATAAGCTTGTTGGACTTTGTCCCTATGCATGTTAGGCAATTCTCCCAGCTAGTTTGAGTTACCAGCTGACCAGTGAAGCAGTGGAAACCAGAATATCCAGAGTGGTTTGAAGGAGAAAGAAGCATTGTGGCTTTATATCCTCTGGGCCTGCATTTCCTAAAGTCATCGCACATAGAGCAGAGAGAAAATGGCCGAATTAAAGGTAAGAAACCGTCTGGCAAGTTTCCTGCAGCTTCTTCAGCCAAAATTTATGGAAGTTAAAGGTAGGAGATCATCTGGCAAATTTGCTGTGGCTTCTTTGGCCAAAATTTATGGAAGCTTCTGAGAACTCCAGGGTATCAGAGCTGAAAAGAACTTGGAGAGGCCCTGGTTCAAATCCCTGTGTTCAGAGGCTTCACTGTGGTGTCTGTGGGCACAACTGGGGCTGGGGAACAAGGGAAAGGTGATAAAGGAAAGAAATGAAGATCTTATTGGTCATCTTTTGTCTTTATTTCAATCATTGTCTTGGAAACCTGTAGACATCCTAAGAGCTCCCCTCCACTATAAACACGCACATTTCTCACTATGTCTCTTTCCCACCCCCTGCTCTGACACATTCCCATTGCTGCAGCTTCTTGGACCACTTCTGGCAACCAATTAGATATGCTTAATCTATTCAGTTAATTGAGGCTATGAATCATCTGTTGGCCAGTAGAAGCCCTAGCACGTCCTCTAGTAAATCATTCCTTCTTTTTAGTAATACACAATTGAAAAGTATGTGTGGGTTGTGTGCTGTTAGATGCTAGGCATTTTAACTATGAATTAACTCATAATCTTTAAAATAAATCTGGGGTATAGAGAGAGGTTCTTGTTTCTATTAATCAATTAGAAAAGTAAAGCTTGGAAAGACTATGATTTGCCCAAGGTCACTGCCAATAGATGAGTGGATTGCAATCAGGTTATGTTAGAATGCAAAGTCCAAGCTCAAAAAAGGGTCTAAATGGCTCCTACTAAACTGGTATCTTAAGGCAAGGAAAGAAAGTATGTCCCTAATATCCAAAACCATGCCTAATGCCCAGCCCAGCCTTGCATCAATGCCCAGCACATGCATGTGTGACTGAATAGCACTGCCCAGAACCTTGGCTCAGGGCAGGTGGGCCAGACCTCCCCCCACCAGACTTCTTCCCAGAATGCAGGATTTGAGAAGTGCCCTAATGCACTCTAACTGATGCTGAGTGTGAAGAATCCATCAGTTAAAGGGAGATGTTTCTGAGTTTGAAGAATCAAACACCTTCCTAATTGATAGGAATCCTGAAAACTCTCAATGCTGGAATAAACTTTGGTTTTTTATCTTTATGCATGACTGATAGTTAACTCTCATTCTTTAATTCAGCAAATATTTTGTGCTATTGCATGATGCTACAGATTAATGTAGTAGAGGAACTGAGTCTGGGATAGGTAAAGTCAAAAGAAACTTCCTAAAGGAGCCTGTACCTAAACTGAATCTTAAGAGAGAAGTTGGAACCAGCCAAATGAAGAAGGATAGGGTCTAAAGGGAAGAGTGAGTGCAAAGGCACAGCACATACAGAATGCCTGCATGTTCCAAAATCCAAAACTGTGTTAGCCAAATTTGAGTTGTTGGAGGGACAACCAAATTGAGATACCCAGGTGGTGGCTGGATATATGGATCTGGATTTCAGGGGAGTGGGCAGGGCTAGGAATAGATCTGAGTGTCATGATGTCAATGGTAGGAGTTGAAGTCTTGGAAGAAAGTAGATAGAAACTTTGTTTTCTGATGAACATTCTATGAGGAAGTTCAGTGGGGGTTGGAAACATCTTTACCATTTATAAATAAATTATATCTAAAATCCTATCCTGCTGTAATGTTTAAGCAACTTATTATGCACAGCACCAGGACATCAATGTAAATTGCATACAAGTCTTTGCTCTCAGTTTCAAAGGGATTCTTCCCAGCCTGCTGTCTAATCTTTTACAAGGAAAGGTTAACTCCAGAAGTCAGGAATCTGAGCACAGAAAACCAGATTGCATCATATTCATTCTAATCAATAAATATTATATAATTTTTTAAACTGTTTCTCATTTTTTATTTCTTCATTTTAATGAATATGTCAACACAAAGCCATAAATGAAATCACATTTACACAAAAATAAAGCTAGGAGAAGAAAATTCAAAATATTAAATAATAAAATTAAATTTAAAACATAATACCCTATGTTTTTGAGTAAGTTGCTTCACTTCTCCCAACCTTGGATTCCTCATTTCTAAAATGAAGGGCTTGCTTAACTTGCAGGCTTTGGCCCCACCACCAAATCCTTGATTCACTGGCTCTGGGTCTGTATGTAACAAGCTTCTGGAGTGATTCTAATGATTAGCCAGAGATGGGACCTACTGTTCTACATAACTGATTTCCTGTTGCTGCTATAAAAAATTACCCCAAATTTATTGGCTTAAAACAACACAAAAGGTGTGGCTGACACCTTGACTTTAGCCTAGTGAAACCAATTTCAGATATATATATACTAACTCTTGTTCCAAACGCATAACCCTGAACTCTCTTCTGAGGCCAGCAGTTACAAAGAATGGGGAAGGTTAATGAGTAAATCCATCGGTGCCTGCTGGAAAGCTGAGCCGTACTCCAGCCTGCCTTCCTCTCTTGCAGAGAGGAAGACTTTCTTCTGGAGACTCTATGAAAGGTTGTGTTTCCCTGCCTTTTCCATGGATTCTGTTTCTTCTTCTAGAGGCTATCCACATTCCTTGGTTTGTAGCCTCTTCTATCTTCAAAAAATGTATCTCTGCTTCTGTAATCGCATCACCTTTTCCCCTCTTAGAAGTCAAATCTCCCTTTGCCTCCCTCTTATAATGATACTTGTGATTACAATTAGGATATACCCAAATAATTAGGATATCTCCCATTCCAAGATCCTTCATCACATCTGCAAAAGTCTGTTTGGCTAGAAAAGGTAATACAGGTTTCAGGGATTAAGCCATACATATCTTTCAGAGCCATTATTCAGCCTACTGCAATAATATGCAAGTTCTCTTCACAATCTATATTCTACGTTTCCATCAAGGTTAACTAGAAATATCAGACTCCTTTTCCACAAACACACACACATACACAAATGTAGCAGTAGCTCTACCCTGACTTCTCTCTCTCTCCTTCATGCCCAGAAAGAGGAAGTGAGGTGCACCATCTGTTCATCTCATCAGGTGTTACCTAGAATTAGAGTGAGGAGAAAGCACCTCATAAAACTACTCTGACAAGTAAACCATATCCTGGGGACCAGGTGAAAATTAAAAAGCTGTATACTCGTAAGCTGCCAAAGAACTGATAGTACTGAAATCTCATGGAGCTCAGGAATTTATTCTTGCATTTAGAAAGTATACATATAATTCTCCTAAAAAAAATAATATTTTTCTGTCTGATCAAATTATTCAAAAATCCAAACTGTAGAAAAAATGCTTAATGTTAGCTTTTTAATTTTATTTTTGTACACAATATACTTTTGCATAAGCACTGAACCAGCTGGAAATGAATGCTTGGATTTTCACAGCTGATAAAAGCAGAGTTCAGATTCTGTCCTTGAGCTCAATGTCTGAAGAAAGCAGCTACAGTTACTACTTCCTTAATTCAGATGCCTTTGGCAGTGAGGGACATGGCATTTTAAAGCTGTAATAAACTCATCTGTAATTTTTCTCTCAGGGGAATTAGAAAAACCAATTGATTTTGATAGTGACTCAGCACTTTTCACCTTCCTCCTAGCCAATGCACTGCAGCTAAGATAGAAAACAGATTCAGAACTCGCACCTCGCAGTGCTTGGTGGCTCCCTTCCAAACCACCAGCTGTTCTTCCTACTTTCTTTTCTATTTTTTAAAGCACAGTCTGAATCAAATACTTCAGAAACATATATACCAACTCTTGTTCCAAACGCATAACCCTGAACTCTCTTCTGAGGCCAGCAGTTACAAAGAGTGGGGAAGGTTAATGTGTAAATCCATGGGTACCTGCCAGAAAGTTCAGCTATACTCCAGCCTTCCTTCCTCTCTTGCAGAGAGAAATAATGTGGCAGTTGAACAAAGTGAAGGCACTGTGGCTTCCATCATAGGCTGGTCTCAAATTCCATTTCACAGAATTAAAGATAATTGGAGTTATTACCAATTCTCAGCAGCTCAAATTCAATCCTGTTGATGGTGAGCATGGGGTTCATTTTAGAAGGAGAAAATAAGATGCAGCAGAGAATCAGAATGCTGGATGATCTCTGCCATTTCCCCAAAGATATCATCCTAACCTCATGCTGCTGCTTTTAACAAATCAGCATATACTTTAGTATTTTTTTGTGATGACAAATCTTCGAATATATAAAATATTGTATCTGAAGGCAAAAAGAATAATTTCACTTCCATTGCTTTCTAGGTCATAACTTTCACGTCTGATATTTCTTCCAAATATAGACCGTTGTTGACCTAATCATCACACACATACAGGAGTGTTATATATCTCCATGCTGCTGAGAACTCCGGAGGGCCTATCCTTCACCCACTTCCATCCTTCTTATATCTCTTAAGGAGATGTGTTCAGATGGTGACATTTTATTTGCTGAGCAAGACTGCACTTTCATTATCCTGGGCTAAAATCAATTGGCATTTAAGTTAGAGCAAAGAGAGTTCTAACCCTATTTTCAGCAGCACACATACACTTACATTAGAATTGTCTTTAAGTGAAAAAATTAATCAACAGATTTCCACCGAGTACCTTCTATGAGCCAAGACTGCCATAGTCCCAGCCTTCATGCAGCTTATAGGCTAACAAAAGAGCCAGACAGTGCACAAGAACTTGCAAGTGTGTTGAGTGTTGCAAGAGTAAGTTTCAGGGGCTCCTCATGACTTACCTTGTTGAGAAACCCTTAACTTTTTTTCCCCTCTGGGTGTAAAGTGAAGAGATGGCAATCCGAGTAGGTTCCATTGTGTCATTGTGAAACGATTCTGAGCTGGCATATCTCCTAAAGGCCACCCATATCTTTAAACTTTATTTTCATGCATTCATACAAATATAAATGTGTTCCATAGATGAGGCAGATAGCAGAGGCTTCTGCCTGCAGCCAGACTAGTTTGGAGAGGGTTTTCCTGTCAGGATTGGATCCACACACCTCTTCCTAGATGGTTTTTTTTGTTTTTTGTTTTTTAACAGAGTTTGAAGGGGAAATGGAGTCTCAGGTTTAGGGGGGTTCAGTGTAGATGCGTAAATCTGCTAAGTACAGCTAAAGGTGGAGAAGCACTTTTCTGATTAATTGGAATATCTAGCACTCTTCTGATTAATTAGAAGTCTAATATTTACAGAAAGCATATTCTCTTTCCTGAGTCATATGTCAAGACACAGTAAAGATATATATGTGACATCATATACACACGTATGTCCATATAGAAATTCTTACCTTTGTAGACTGCCAGTTTTCTTTAAATCCTACTAATGGTGACATTTGTGTCTTTGTCACATACAGTACCTTTCTGGATTTGGGAATGAGTGTGCTTCAGAGGACCCTCGCTGCCCAGGTTCCTTGCCAGAAGGACAGGTACGAGGAAATAAAGTGCTTAGAAGAGCTCTGAATCCTATTCCTGAATGACTAGCTTTCAGGCCAAAGTGCCTCCACCCACTGTGGCTCTTCTAATCTAGCCTGTGAACTGTCTAGGGGTTTCCTAAATCATAGGGGCAATGTAGATACAGCACAATGACAATACAAAGATTAAAATTGGATTGGTGGCACAGCAGCCAACCCAAACTAGTAAAATTAACTGTAGGGTTTCCACTAGTATCCCCAAAATCTAGGATTAAAGGGAATTCCTCATATTCCCCTTGAACACCATAAGATGTGATAATTACGAGAAAATAACAAGGTGCTTTAATATGTATGCACAAAGATGTTCATACTAGCGCTGGCTAGAATAGCAACAACACAGCAAACAAAAATATTTTCAGAACTTTTGAAGACTGTATCATGGCATAAAAGTTCTCATGGTATAATGTTTTCTTTAAAAGGAAAAGAAAAAATACCTGATTATTACAGGATTACAGGTATCATAGGGTCACAATTTTGGAGGATAAGAATGCAAGAAAAAATACGAACATGTTAACACTGGGTTACTTCTGGTTGTGAGATAATGGGTGATATAGTTTATACATTTTCTACAATAAGTATATATTACTTTTATAATCAAGGGGGCAAATCACATTAAAAGTTGTTAGAAGAAACATATTGGGTTGGAGATGATCATGAGCAGTGGCCCAGAGCATCCCCATTCCCCTATGGAGTTGGTTGGTGGGAAGGTGTGATGTTTTTCAGATGGGAGTAATATTGTTTATTGCATCCTTTGTTTCAGAATAATCCTCAGGTCTGCCCCTACAATCTGTATGCAGAGCAGCTCTCAGGATCGGCTTTCACTTGTCCACGGAGCACCAATAAGAGAAGGTACAAAGATTAGATGAATTCTGACCTGCAGGCTGTGGGAACTATGACAGGGACTTTGGGCTGCCTCCTTCCCCTGGGCCACAGCCTCCTAGAGCTGCTCAAGATTCTACTTCTTATAGGCTTTGGTCTAGGTCCTAGTCAGGAGAGAATAGACTTCCTGCTAGCTAGCACCAAGTGACTGGTGGAAGAAGGCTAAGGAAAGCTGTGCAGAGCCTGGAAAATACACATGTCCAGTTCCATTTACAAATTATCTCCTATACTTGGATTGAAATATTCCTAATAGTTTGGCCTTCTTCTAAAGACCGTCCTGTTGAGTTTTGGTTTGGGGTTTTCCTGTTTTCCTTTGTTTTATAATGACTGAGTCATAACTCTGGAATATTCAGAGCAATATCTTTCTCAGCTAACTAGAGGTATGTTCTTTTCAAAAAAATGTTGGGTAATCCAAGCTTGGATAGTTGAAAAGTCATGTATTATGGCCCATTGTGGTTTGAATTAATAAGGTTTTTATTCTAGCATTTGCCTTTGCTAGAAACCAGCATATTCATTAACATAGTATGCCATGTTCCATGTTCGCTCTAATCCTACATCCGGGTCAATGAACATGAGCCCTTGATTAACTCATATCAGGCAGGTTGGATGCAGTGTGTTATAGTTTTAAGAGGCAGTAAGTGTTGTGATTTAAATAAATAGTATCTAATTATAGAAAGTTTAGGCTAAGGCATTTGTGAAGAGGAATGCTGCTGATATTAGAGATTTGGGGAGAAGGGCATGTGGTCTTGTACTGCTTAGCAGGGCGGCCTGAGTTTATCACCACAGGTCCTTCTGAGAAGCAAATGTAAGTACAAAACTATAGTGGACCACACAAATGATAAATATTGCACAGTAACCATGGCCACCCTGGAGGCAGGCCCCCTGAGTATAAATCCTGGCTCCTCTTTTTCAAATCTTGGGCAAATCATCTGCCTTTTTTGGATCCTCTAGTTCTTCATTCATAAAACAAAGATAATAATAGTACCTATTTCATAGCTGTGGTGAGGATTAAAAGAAAGGATGTTTATAAAGCATGTGTATAAAGTGTATATTGCAAGGCACATGGTTAGTGCTCAATTAATGCTAGTTATTTTCAAATAATTATCATTAAGTATTGCCATCATGGCAGAGTTTCTGCCTCATTTCCAGGGTATCTTGAGGAGGCTGTCAAGAGAACTGCACATGATATATGGCAGGTGCTATGCTACATGTCAGTATAACAGTGCTTTTCTCTCAATAGATATGTGAGTGGAAGGAGGAAGAAATAGGGAAAGTTTTCTAAACATGTCAAAAATCAGGATAATTCCATTGCTATATAATCGTTTCTCTCTCTCTCTCTCTCTCTCTCTCTCTCTCTCTCTCTCTCTCTCTCTCTCTTTCTCTCAGCCCAAATAGACAGGGTAAGGTAAGCACACAGACAATTCTGTCCATTCTAATTTATGACAACCTGGCCTCTATGACTATGTTCTCGACTTTATGGCCCATTCCCTAACAGGCCACCTGGTCTCCGGATTCTGCTGCCTGTCCCCATTATTCAGCAATATCTTCAGCCAGCAGGAGCTGAGCTCTGTTCCAGGAGGCTGAAAAGGAGCTGTTGGCATTTCATTAAGAAGCTGGCACTGTTCCCTGAATCAGAATTAAATCTCTGTTCAGGGCAATGTAGTGCTGCCTGGGGAGTGTTATAAACTCAGCTAAAAAATAAGGGACACTAGGTATGGCTCACCCATCCATTTAGAAAAACTCTTCAAAGATACCAACAAAAATGTTGTGGAAATGCTTTCCACTGAAAATCTCCAGTGGGAAGACAGGACCAGTCCTATCCATAAGTAGGCCAGCCTGAAATTCCTAGTTACTACTCATTTGAACCATAGCATGCAGGGCCACCACAAAACTATTGCCCACCTACCTACCTAACTACCTGCCTGCCTGCCTGCCTGCCTGCCTACCTAGGATTAATTTTTATCAGATTAGCTAGCTGATTGATCCCTTGATTCTTGAAAAGGCAAGAGTCAGAGAATGTGGAAAATCTAGACTGTGATAAAATTCGGACAATTAAGAGAAGAAAGGCAATTTAACAAGCATCTAATAAGCGAGCATCTATTGTATGCCAGGAATTTTCGGTTCACAAACTCTTTGAGTTCTCACAACTGTCTTAGAAGACAAGGATGAAGAACATAAGGTCCAGGAAGTTTAGTAACTCTCCCAGGATCACACAGCTGGTTCCAAAACATACACATATGCTCTGAATTTCATATACTGGGAGCTGGAGAGGCTTAGTAAGACCAAGGCCTGAGGTCATGTCATCAAGAAATGAAGGAATCCAATGGAAACTAAACAGATCTAGCCCTTTTTCTCCCAGATGGCTCAGCATTGGGCCAGGCCAAGTCAACCCACTGAGATAGACTGTCCTTGGGCTCAAAAGGGCCAAAGCCTGTTGATTCAGGTCTGGTCTTCCATTGTCCATCTGTATTTTATCAGGGTAGTAGCCTCTGAAAGGACTTAGGTCCCTTTTAGTGAGTTTCAATGTCCCTTCCAACTTCCAGAAGGTTCTCATCCTGGTGTCCTTCAGAATTCCTTTATCAGAGTCTTCTTCCCTTATTGAAACCTGAGATCTGGTCCTGGTAGAGAGGACATGCTTTAAAAAGAACAGAAAGAAAAACAAATAGAGCCATAAATGTACCACAGTAAAACATGAACACACACTCTTCTAATTTTGGAGTACAGAAGTGTTAATTTATTTTTAAGTTCCAGGGTATATGTGCAGGTTTGTTACATAGGTAAACAGTGCCATGGTGGTTTGCTGCACCTATCAACCCATCACCTAAGTATTAAGTCCAGCATACATTAGCCATTTTTTCCTGATGCTCTCCCTCCCCCAACTCCCACCCCCCAGCAGGCCCCAGTGTGTGTTATTGCCTTCCCTGTCTCCATGTGTTCATTGTTCAGCTCCCACTTAAGAATGAGAACATGTGGTATTTGGTTTTCTGTTCCTGCTTATGGCTACTAGTTCCATCCATGTCCCCTCAAAGGACATGATCTCATTTTTTTATGGCTGCATAATATATTCCATGGTGTATATGCACCACATTTTTTTAATCCAGTGTATCATTGATGGGCATTTGGGTTGATTCCATGTCTTAGCTATTGTGAATAATGCTGCAATAAACATATGTGTGCATATATCTTCATAATAGAATGATTTATATTCCTTTGGGTATATACCCAGTAATGGGATTGCTGGATCAAATGCTATTTCTCATTGTAAGTCTTTGAGGAATCACCACGCTGCCTTCTATAATCGTTGAACTAATTTACATTCCCACCAACACTGTAAAAGCTTTCCTATCTCTCCACAGCCTCTCCAGCATCTTTTTTCTCTTACAAATTAATATCAAAAAGACAAATAAACTCAATAGAAAATGATAAGGGACTTTTACAAGTAATTCACAGAAAAACTACAAAGAGTCAATAAACAAATGAATAGACTGGTTTTTTTGGAAATATTTTGTATTTCCTAACTTATAATAAAAGAAATACAAAATAAAATGAGATACTATTTTCCACCTAAAACACTAAAATTATTACTAATATTCCAGATTTGTGAAGATGTGTGTGACCAGGCACTCTCACATATTATTATTATGGTAATAAAGTGTTAAAATGATCTGGCAATTTTGCTTAGAAATGTATTGGATATATCTGAAAGAATATATATTTAAAAAATCATTAAGCTCTGATGTTTCTGAGGAATAGCCCTGAACAAATTGGAGGAAAAGGAGCCTTTACGTTTCAGGACTTTTTAAATTACTTGAATTATTTTTACCATTGGCATATGTTACTTTCATAATTTTAAAGGAAAAAAGTGATTTATTATTTCAAAAATAACAAAGTTGTCATCCATATTTTATTAAGCGACATAGAACTCATTGTTTTTGCCTTCCAGGGCAAGGACTAGTATCCTATGATATCCATAAGCTAATGTTTTTCTATGGATTTTCCTACACAGATATCCCTCAAGGTATTCCCCCTTCCTTTATAGTTGTTAGAAAAGACAATTATTCGTTTTTTGGCAACATGGGAATAACCATGAATCAGAGTCCATTTGAAGCATGATGGGGGCAGTGAAAAGGTGAGAAGAGGCCAGAGGTGTGGACAGCAGATGGCCATTAAAAAGTGATGCTGTGACATTGCTTCACTGCTTCACACATTAAAGCCCAGGTCTAATGTGTGACTTGAGTGTCTTCGTTGACTTGACAGGTTGTCGCTGACTTGAGTGTCTTCCTGATGGTACTGCCTCAGCCATTCTGTGTATCACTCAGAACATTACTCTAAGGCTTGTATATCTTGTATGTTTTTTTCCTTTAGCTGGCTGTATAGGATTCTACCTTCAGTTTCTCACAAGCCCTTTGAATCCGTTGATAAAGGCCATGTCACTCACAACTGGGATGAAGTTGATCCTGATCCTAACCAGGTAACCTGGTCCTGTGAATTGAAGCATATCTTATACCCAAAGCCTTGAATAGAAATACCTAAATAGAATACTATGGTCTTGGAAAAACTTAGATAGCTTTTTTTAGTATTATTTTAATAAATGCTAAAGTGTGTCTATTTTCTGCTCAAACTTGGGTGCTATATTGGTCCATTCTCATACTGCTATAAAGAAATACTTAAGACTGGGTAATTTATAAAGGAAATATTTTTAATTGACTCACAGTTCTGCATGGCTGGGAGGCCTCAAGAAACTTACAATTATGGCAGAAGAGGAAGCAAACACATCCTTCTTCACATGACGGCAGGAGAAAGAAGTGTTAAGCAAAAATGGGAAAATCCCCTTATAAAACCATCATATCCTGTGAGAACTCACTATCATGAGAACAGCATAAGGGTAACCATCCCCATGATTCAATTACCTCCTACCAGGGAGGTCCCTCCCACAACACACAAGGATGATGGGAACTATAATTCAAGATGGGATTTGGGTGGGGACACAGCCAAACCATATCAGGTGGGAATTTTGGAACTGATTGATTGATTATGTATGTGCATATTGTTAAAAGAAAAACCTTAGACAAATCTAATTTAACAGAGTTTAATTAGGCAAAGGACAATTCATGAATTGTTTTATGTGAGCCAGGATAGGTTCTGAGAGACTCCAGCACAGACACTAATAGAAGATGATTTATGGACAGAAGAAGGAAAGTGATGTATGGAAAACAGAAAAGAGGTACACAAATAGCTACATTGGTTGCAGCTTGGCATTTTACTTACTTGAACTGAGTTTTAACTGTTGGTCACAAGAGTAGGTTACACATCCAATTAGGTTATGGTTCATTATGTATGGAGAAACCTTTAGGCAGAACTTAAAATATATAAGGAGGCAGATTTAGGATAAACTTGATTAACAGTGTGTGTGTGTGTGTGTGTGTGTGTGTGTGTGTGTGCACGCACGCGAACGCACGCGCACACGCACGTGCACATGCTTTAGTTTGTATCTTTCTAGCCTAATGGGCACAGGAGTAGTTTGCACTTAGTAGAACTGCTCAGGTGAGTTGGATGAGTAGAAATTATATACATTGGTCAAAATGTCCACATGCTCTTAAGTTTTTTTCTGTTAATCTAAACTTGCCATAAAATATAGAAAACACATTCAATACTGACATCTTTGAAGAGAGGCCTTTGAAATATGGCATGGGGTGAGGGTCTTGCTGTCTGAGCTGAATGATGTAAGTCTATTGTGGTCACAGATCACTCTCACATTCTCTTTAGACCTAGGGCTTCCATTCTTTTTCTAGGAGTTTCCTCCTTTTAGTCTAGTAATAGTGGGCTTTTTCTCTGATTGTCAGTATTATACACTCTGCTTGCAGAGTATATAAGATAGAATGAGACAGAACCAGTACTATAGCAATGAGATAGAACCAATGCTATAATGGACTGAGCTCTGTTTTTTAACCTTCTGAGAACCCCAGTGTATTGCCTTTATCCCTGAGTTTTGATAACAGGTATATAGAGCAGGAAGAAAAACAGACCTAGGTTTGCATCCCCACCCCTCTACTTACTAGCTATGTCTTAAGCTATGATGTTTCAACTGTAAAATGGGATGATAACATCTGCCTTGTGGTGCTATTGTGAAGATTCTAAGAGAATAGGTGTGAACCTGCTTTGTACAATGCCTGGGATATGATAGACAAGAACTGTGATTCTGATACAGCTGTTTATATTTACCTGAATTTACATTATTCAGGTAAATTTATTTCTTCATTTTATAGTATTTTTTATTCTGAAGTCTTCTTCTGCCCTCTTTCCCTCCCTCTTTCTCTCTGTCTCCTTCCCCTTCCCTCTCTCCCCTCCCCCACTTTCCACAGCCCAAGGAAATCTCCTGTTTCCCCTTTGTTTACCAAGACATTTTGTCTATACCTGCAAATCTCCCTCCCCTAAGTGCCTAGACTTTTTATAAAATAATTTAGAGACACCTTTGGTTTCCTGCGCAGTTCTCTTTCTTGTCTTAATTATGGAAATCTCAAAGAAATAAGCATCTGCTTGAATGCTACCACCCCTTTCTACCAGGGACAGGAGGGAAGGGAGCCTTTTAGGGTAGAAAAATGTGAATTAATATTTCAAATGTTATCTACCTCATAGCCATTTTGAAACTAAGATATTTTGTCTAAATAATTGACTCTTAAACTTGTATTAAGTTTAATGCATAAAGTAGACATCCTCCCTGGTCCCCAGCTGGCCTATATATTGCCTTTAAGCAAATTTCAAAATGCAGCCCCTATTCTAACCCCCAACCCCTCAGACTCAGTCTGACACACACAGGGACACATGCTAGGCATTCAGCTCCTGTCCTTTTCCCCTTCAGTCGGACAAGGCCCTTGTGCAGCGCACAGCTTGCACAACCTGGGGACCCTGACTTTGCCTCATTCTTGAGTCTTTTGTGGGTTCAGGTAAGGTATAGTAATTATGTATATGAAGTTAACTAAATGAGGAATTACAAGAAAAGTTTATAGGCAGATTTGGGGAATTTTAATTATTGTTTATTTATAATAATACATAATTATTTATTATTATTTTGCTTCAAGATAGCAATCAAATCACTAGTGGTTAACAGGGTAAGCTGGAGAGTTGCAGGCCTCCTGCCTGCTCATATCAACAATTGTCTAAGCCTCTCAACCTTAATAAATCTTCACAGATTTGTCTGTAGTTGTGTGGGCAACAGTGGAGCCATACTTTTTTTATATGGTTTTATTTCATGTAGGGGGTTAGGTTTTAAGCCTAACCTTTAAGGAAAATGTGTGATGTGACTCTACTTTGAGTATGATGTGTAATATGCTCAGTAATATACTTTTATTATATATTATTATTTCCTTGACTATCATTGCTACATTTTATTTAATATGAATATACTCTTTCATAGGAATTATTTTGGAGTTTGGGTGGCATATGCTTGGAAGATAACCTTGTTCTAATAGAATTTTCCCAGCTTTGTCTTTTTTTTTTTTTTTTTTGACAGTCTTACTCTGTTGCTTAGGCTGGCGTACAGTGGCATGATCACAGCTCACTGCAGCTTTGACTTCCCGGACTCAGATGATCCTCCTACCTCAGCCTCCCAAGTAGCTGGGAGCACAGGTGTGCACCACCATGCCAGCTAATTTTTGTATTTTTGTAGAGACAGCATTTCACCATGTTACTCAGGCTGGTCTTGAACTCCTGCTCAAGTGATCCACCTGCTTCAGCCTCCCAAAGTGGTGGAATTACAGGCATGAACCACTGCACCCAGCTTAGCTTTCTCTGGTTATATGAGTAACAGGTACTTATAAAAACAAAAATAATATAGAAATTAATAAAATATTACTGGAAGTCTCCCATCATAGGTGACTGTCAAGTATATAAGTTGTATGTGTTAATACATTAATTCCTAAATAGTTGATATACATTTTTGACCAGGAAGTTTGAAGCAACTGGATTAAAAAGCTGAGTTAATACAGAGGCATCAAAATAGCTCTATCAGGGTGGGTGTGGTGGTCCACACCAGTAATCCCAGCACTTTGGAAGGCTGAGGCAGGTGGATCATCTGAGGTCTGGAGTTCCAGACCAGCCTGACCAACATGGAGAAATCTCCTCTCATGCCGGGCGCGGTGGCTCACGCCTATAATCCCAGCACTTTGGGAGGCCGAGGTGGGTGGATCACGAGGTCAAGAGATCGAGACCATCCTGGTCAACAAGGTGAAACCCCGTCTCTACTAAAAATACAAAAATCAGCTGGGCATGGTGGTGCACGCCTATAATCCCAGCTACTCAGGAGGCTGAGGCCGGAGAATTGCTTGAACCCAGAAGGCAGAGGTTGCAGTGAGCCGAGATCATGCCATTGCACTCCAGCCTGGGTAACAAGAGTGAAACTCCGTCTCAAAAAAAAAAAGAAATCTCTTCTCACTAAAAATACAAATTAGCAAGGCATGGTGGCACATGCCTTTAATCCCAGATACGCAGGAGTCTGAGGCAGGAGAATCGCTTGAACCTGGGAGGTGAAGGTTCCAGTAAGCCGAGATCATGCTATTACACTCCAGCCTGGGCAACAAGAGCAAAACTCTGTCTCAAAAAAAAAAAAAAAGAAAGCTGTATCAGAAGTTTCTGCTGGTTTTCTAGTAGATCCTTCCTCAGCCCATATTTGTTCCCCTCCCCTTTTCCATGCTTCCCGTGGTTAGAATGGCTTTGCTTTTATTCTTGAACTTGTTGCCTTTCTCCTGTTTTGAATTCCCTGAACACTTTCTATATGGTAGTCACCAAATGAATTTCTTCTCCAATATCTTCCCTGCTCCTTTGAGACCTTATGTTCACACACACTGGGAGAGATGTACCTCAGAACTCAACAGTGCCTCTATGAACACGGGCTCCATTCAGGTAGCAGTTTATCATCTGTCTGACCTGTGACCTCTGTCACCCACCAACTACTTCTCTTGCCCTGATAAACCCTGGCTGTTCTTGCAAAATCTACCCTTTTGTCTTTTCATTTATACCTTCTTTACAGGTTAATATCTCTTTACAATTTTATACTTCATTAATTAGCCACAGCATTTTGCATTCATCACTTCCTCCCTCATAACCTCCTCCAAATATGTACTCCAGACTCTCATCAAGAAAGGCTGAGAAAATTATATTTAGGTATCTCTTCTACGGTCCTTCCTAGCTGAAGCCTGTGTGATAGGTATGTCTTCACCTGTCATAGACCAAATCCAATATTTCATCAGCTTCACCAGCTATCCACATTAGTCATCTCTGGGAATTTGAAGACCTGAGAACTGCCTGACGTTTCCACCTGTGTAAGGTTCAGTCCCAAAGACAGCATCATGCAATATGCTATTATCACTCTCATCCTTGATACTGTCTCAGGAAGACTGGGGACTGCTCCCCCTAAAGCCTTCATTTTCTTTAGTGTATATTTAATTTGTTATCCAAGAATTAATGCAACCTCTT